TCTCAAAAAGATACTAAAGTTTTTCTTTTCTGTAGGTCCTGCCTGTCCACACCACCATCATGCATTAATGAATGTAAGTTACAGAGCCCACACATTTCTCCAACAGAACATATGTGTTTTTCATACCATTGAGATTGTTAAGTTTCATAATCATTTTTGCCTCAGTTCGTTCAGTTTTAGTTTTAGTTTTTATTTTATTACATGTTGCATATTACACTTTTTACTCAAATTCACTTTAATCATTCAATCAAATCTTTATTTGTAGAGCACATTTAAAACAGCCTAGGCTCTGGAGAGAAGGTGGGGCTGGAGGAGTTCATATAAATAAGAAAGTGCCATTCTATTAAAACTTCTACAACGCACAAAACTTCTTAATGCTGTTTATTCTCCTTTTCCTCTTTGGTGATAATGAGTTACATCTTCTTTATTCTACGTATACTGTTTTATTGTCATGGAGAGCTCTAAATAGTCAACAAAGGTCATGGCCACTGTCAGTGAAACAGCGTCATGTGCCAGAAGTTGAATATTTCTACAATTAGCTTCCCCCCGCGCTCATTCATGTATCGATTAGTTGCAATCAAAGTGACTACGGCTCCAATTGTCATCGACTTTTTATAAAGGTGCCTCATCCCCAGAGCTGTAAAAAGACAAAATCATTACATTGTTGGTGTTGTGTTCCTCTCTTCATCAGGCTCACGTCAAAGAAGACTTCCTTCATTACTGCCGTGTCTTCTCATCTTGACCTCATTCTTCAGGTGTGCATGGCATGTGTTGTGTGTCATCCGCAAAGCGCCCAGAGACCAGATGCTGCAACATCACAAAGCACTATGGATCCGCAGGAATTTCAAAGGTATGTATATGCCACCCTGGGGAGACCACCGACAGCTAATTACATGCAATATTTCACATTCCGTATTGCTTATTCGCCATTGCCTCATTACTCACAAAACAGAACATATCATTGTTTTGTTTAGTGCTCGAGCCTCTGGCAACATCCCCCCCTGAAGCCGTATCTATGTCAGGCGAAAGCAAAGAGTATAGTTTAAAGGCAACCGAGATAATCTGAAACAACACTGTCCTGTCCCAAGGTGAACATATGCCATTTGTTTTAATGCGTGTAAGAAATTAATGGTTAATTGTTGCCATAAATCATGAGACATAGCTATTAACAAGATCTTTGGGAGAGCAAGCGGAAATGCTACTATCTACTTGAACCGAGTATTGTGCCACTGTGGGACATCACATCAACAGCAGAGGTTGTAGAAAACAGATGCATAGGTAATTATCTTAGCTGCTTAGTATATTATTAAATTTCTTTATCAGTATATTGGTAAAAACTGCCCATTCTGTTCAGCATCTAAGCACACAATCTTCATGATCGCAGCTCATTCTCTGTCATGATGTGCCAATGTCCTATTCCGCCATTCTCCGTTTTTGTCCCTGAAAAATGATGAGAAAAAAAGCAAAAAAAAAAAAAAATGAAGGTCTTCGCCACCCCACAAGTAGACATCACCATGGAAACGGGTGTTATTCAGTGCTTTCCACAATAGACGTTAAATGAAAGGAGCTGTCTGATGGAGATAAAAGAGTGGGCTCGCCTCAGTCAGGGCGTTTTTCCATCATCACGCAACAACATGAGAAATATCATTGAGATTTTGTTATAATCAGTAACACTTAGTATGTGGTTATTTTGAGTGTGTTTATACCGAAGCCTGCTAGCTAGGTGACCGTAATATGTAATGGAAACAAGACTTTATTTGATGGATTTTTAAGGATTATGTATTTGTGTTTAGCCTTTTTAATGATAGATTATTTTGAAATTCTTTAGTATGACATTCAAATTTGTCCGTATAATTATTTCCTATAACGTTTTAATAAATATGTAATGGGCCCATATCATCAAGATCTGTATTTTCTTCCACCATGCACCAGTTTTGCCTACAAAAAGAAACCCCTACAAAGTTTAGAGTCTACCTTGTCTTCCATTTGGGAATAGAACAGTGGAGGCAAAGATAGTTAAATGAATTTATTGACCTATAACTGCAAGACAAAGAGCATAAACTACAACAATAGAGGGTTGTGCAAATGCAGGCTTGCATATCAGCATATTATCAAATCCAAAAGAAATGACTGCACAGCACAGCTTCATAATAAAAGTAAGCATGCAACAGATTCCTTTGTCACTTCTGACTGAATCTAATATTTTTGACACGTGGTCAGTTCCCTGTCCATGTGCTGCAGCTTGAGTTGCATATTAGGGCTGTGTGCTGTAAACTCTGTTCTGATTAGCTCTGGATTGATAAGACACCGAGTGGATGGGGATTTGAAGACAGCTTTCGGGTTCAAAACCTATGACTGGCTAATTTAGTCTGACAATGGAGTGTGCAGAGATAAGGGAAAATGCAGCTCACTTTCTCACAGCTTTTTTAATTCCACAGTGAAATATGACAAGAACTTAGTCTCACTGTCTCTAGTGTCTGTTAACCACCACTTTAGCACAAATAATATATTTTTGAATCTTTGTACAATGTTTAATGGCGATGAGGGAGTTTGGCGAGATGGCTCTTAGGGTTGGTCACTAAACTATATCTATGTAAACCTTATAAGGAGAAGGTACAGTGTCAAACCATGGCCAATAAAAATTTTCCTGATAAGAGTAATGAGGCGTTTGAGCTGTGCAGCTCATAACCTGAGGCTAAGCATTAATACAGGTGATGGATTAAAGTGAGAATGTGAGGCTCTGTGAGCCTTAGCTTGCACTGATGCCTTTAATTTTCAACTGTATGTGAGAAAATAGAAGACCTATTGGTCTTTGAGAAAAATAAAAATCAATGAAAAGCATCCTTAATACTATACAGGCTTTAAGTTGGAATTTCTTTGGTCATGGGATGTGGCCGTTCTGGCAGGGTATTGATCCTATTCATAATTATAGAGATTTTAGCAGGAGGGAAGGAGAGTATTGTTTGTGCTGTTGAGACCAATACATCTTTAACATGTTATTGTGGCATTTATACAACAGGTTGAACTTCATCAAAGTATACAAAATAATCATACACATACACAAAGGGAAATTAATGTTTCAAAAATGTACATGTTGTCACCTTCTTAAAATAAAGGACTGTGTCATTTATTTGATATCTTTTTTGTCTAAATCTTCTCCTCGTGGTGTTGGCCACACACTGGTTATTTACCACATTAGCATAAGAGAAAGGGACACAAGTGTTTGAGTACGTTTTTTTGTGTTCCCATAAAAACATGACTGAGGAGACTATTTTAAGAAGGCGTCTGCATGTTATCATCTCAATTCATTGTGTAGCCAACGTCCCATTGGTCATTGACATTCGAGTCTGCAGAATCAATAGGTCCTGTTGTGTAATCCACAGTGACAGAAGGATCATTGATGGTGATCTTCAAAGGGGCTGGAACCGTCTCTCGGTGTGTGTGTCAGAGGGCGTTCAATATTGTGGCAAAGCTCTGGAGGACACATCAAAGTCAGATTCGTATTTGTCCTAAGTCCTGTCCTACAAAAACGTCATCGACTTCCATTGCTTCAAATAACAGCAGCAGCAGCTTGATGAGTGACCAACATGTGTCGAGAAATATAGCCACTCATAAAACAACATATTGCAGACATACAAAGCACCTTAGTCCATAGGAGGGGACATTGTAGAGGGGACATTTTTATAATTTTTATAAGATTAACCCTTCAGGCAACAGAGGTTTTCAGGAATATGATGAGAAACAGACGGAAGGTGGTGTATTGAAACTTTAGAAGAAATATACAACAGAAATATATAAATACAAAAATAATATTAGAGCATTGGTGAAGCCAGTTCTCTGTATGGATTCATGTCGTAGTAATTCTGCTGCTTTGGCACCTAAAAGGTTAACATACAAAATTTGAAATTGACTCAGAAGTTTGACAGAATGATATAAGAACATAGAAAATTTAAATTAAAGTTCTCATAAAAAGTGTGACTGGAGATACACAAACCAATGTGCAGTAAATGTATTTCTAAAAAATTCTATACAATCCAGATTGTTTTTCATACAGGAAAATTAAATATTTACCTAGAGTTAGCATTTTAAAAGACTCATTTGACAAGTCTAGTCTAGATCTGGACAGATTTATTCTATTCTTGAAAACAAAATTTGAAAGTTATATGTAATTATTTTCATGTATTTTATCATGTATCTTTATATAACTTTGCATAAAAATGGCAGGAAAATAAATCCACAGAAAAGATGTAGCTAAATGGTTACCAGCAGTTCAGTTAATTCTCCCACCAGAGGCACTGGTTAAACTCTGTGTTAGAATAATTTACTGTATTTGTGAGTCTAAAAACTCTAATATCTCAAGCTCCATACTGTGTTAAAAGAAATTAGGACAAGCTCAACATTTGCTCTGGCGCTAACATGTAAACTGTGCCTTTTTAGACACTAGCCATAATAAACAGGACAAAGAAAAGCGGCTCAGAAAGTCATTACGCTGACAGGCAGCAGCGACACATCCGAACAAAACAAATGTGTAGCTCGGCACACACAGCCACAAATGAGAAAAGAATCATATTATATGCTAATCTGGCAACCCTACTTCCTCGTCGTTACTGTCGCCATCTTGAGGGATATTTGTACATTAATTTATGATACATTGTTCTTTGTAGGACTTACAATCAAGTCCATCAATTCAATATACACTTTTTTTCACAGTTACGTGGATTGCAGAGTGGCATATTTCGCACTGTACTGTTGCTCTGACTTTGATGGCAGTGGATAAAACATATCGATCCATAAATCATTTTTCAAAGGTTTGGCATGCATGCATGATAAAAATCCAAGGAGAGCTCCACAGGGACGCATTTGGTCAGAGGCAGATGAATGGAAATGTCCCGGATCCACAAACCAACAGATTCTGGTTCTTGTGTAAACATCTTGATCGAAGGAAACTGAGAGTCACTATGGAATCGTTTGGAATCGTTATCCTCAGGCGTGTCTGGGGTTTATTCTGTTGGGGTCGTGGCCACGGGGCTGAGGATGGGCGAGGATAAGTCCCGTGTAGGAGACATGGGCGCGATGACCTTGTGGCCGTAGTACTCCACCACTTGTTTTGGGACCTCTGCCAGGACGCATTTGGCCAGAGCCGCTGGTGAGGCCTGGGGCAGATACAGAAGCAAGTCAAAACAGCCTCTCTCGAAACCTAGCAGGACATCAAAAATCACATACTTGATTCTAAAACTAGTATTGAAACTAATACTCTTATTGGCAAGTAAAGATACTGATGGTTATTACATAAAGAAATGTTAAATATTCTCCAGTTTAAGTTTTTGAATTCATTTTCAAGAATGATGTGGCCCCATAGTATTGTTTTTGAGTGAAGTATTTTCAAATTATCACTGGAGCAAATGCTATTGACTATGAAGTGTTTTTTTCTGGTATCAAAATTGAGTTTGGAATTTAGTATCGTGACAACACTGTACATTACAGAAGTAAGATAATGAGTAATTGAATTGAGAAATGTGTTTCGTAATTTATATGGTTTTAATTAGACCTGCAATTAATCAACAACTGTCTTTTCATACAATCTTTCAAGCCAAATGAAATGGCACTCTGGAAATCTACCAGGTGTGTGAGCCATTGTTGCTCTTATGAATGATCCAATTTTTATTTCTGAGTTTTTAAGCACAATCATATGACTTCACAAACATTATGGCTCCCGGAGGATACAAAAACATTGAAAATGAACAGCCAGAAAAGTCATAATAGGGGAGGTCAAGCGCTTTTCCAGAAGGCCACACATTATTATAAATTAATTCTTGGATATTTTTAAACGGCTAAAGCCTGATCATGACTAATATGCCCATGATGAACTGTACACATTACTGGGTGATACTTTATCTGTTCATTTTTTCATCAAATAGATATGAAGGTCACGTGTGTGTGAGAGAAATGCCAGTGTCAGCCACCATTCATTTAAAAGGACATTTCTGGGTCTCCTTCACCTTTATCAAAGTCAGTCTCCATACTCCTCCCATTTTAACCACAGTTGATTTATGACTTTTTTTTTGTTTAAATGCTTGTGACTGAATGGAAAATAAAATGGTTGAAGACAGCATTAAAAGATGAACAAATTTACCGTTTTGAATTCCCTGAAGGGCACAAATTGCACAATATCTCTCAGCACAGGCTCTCCCTTTGGTGAGCGGAGGACTCCGTCGTCACCGTCCAGAATTTCCATGTCTGTAAAGTCTGCATTGCCAACACCCACGATAATAATGGACAAGGGCTGGTAGGAGCCTCGCACAATGGCTTCACGAGTGTCTGCCATGTCTGTAACCACTCCATCAGTGAGGATGAGCAAAATGTGGTACCGCTGGAGAGAGGGGGGAAAAAACACATCTCCATGTTAATACGATACAACGTTTTAGGCCGCAGAGAGAGTGATTGTGATTAGTACAGGATGGAGTAGGGCTTTAATGCTGCTTTGAATGATGTGAAAGCTCCCAGTGAGTAGGCCTCTTTTAGTGAAGACCACTCTCAACAAATGCTTTCACAAAAATATAGGAAGAAAAGAGAGTGAATGCTCAAAAGGACCGGAAAGTAGCTCTTTATATAGACAAGAAGAGTACACCTTTTCCTTTTATGAGGGGTGGCCCAGGCCCATTCAGGTCGGAGGGCCAGGGGTTGATCATGTTTATAATACTATCATCAAAATATATTTGTTATTGATGTTGAATTGGATGATAAAGGGTAACTTATAAAAGTGTGGATAATTTTTGCCCTTTCAATTCTTTGTTTAATTTAAGAATATTATATTTTTGGGAGTAGAACTAGGTCTTTGTGACATATTTGGGCTTCAATTTAGGGCCATAGTGACTTGTAACAGGTGAAGAGTGTTGTGTGTGTATTGCTCTAGAATTCTACCCCAGTTAGAGAGTAGGTGCCATTACAAAAATAAAGATAAGAAAAACTAATGTAATAGAAATGTTGAAAAAAATAACTCCAAATGTTTGGCCTTGTCATTATTTGTTAGTGATTAGTTTCACAATCCCGCCGTGTTTGAAAGTCCTTTGTTTTGGCCAACATTATGCACATAGTATTGTCTCCACTTCAACTTAATGTGAAAAAGATTAGGCTATGTTGATATGTACTGACAAAGAAGATGTAGAAAGTTGTTGTTGTTTTTGCTTAATGTGGATTGGCCCTGGAATTACAGAGAAACTAGCTCTAAGTTAAGGAGTCGCTGCAACAGTTAAACTATGAGTTGGCCTTTCATATGAAGACAGTGTTTCAAGGAGGAGACAAAGCAAATGTTGAAATGAGCCTCCAGAGTGGAACAGAACACAGAGGGCTCTTTCACAACCGCGTGAATAAAAAGATGTGAATTCTCGACTGCTATGACCCCCACTTCCCCGCACGTACATTTGGACGTGCGCAGTGGCCAAAAACAAACGTTAATAACAATGGCGGTGAGTACATTAACCCAAACGAAACGACGCAAAGCTGTAGTTTCACTTTTCATTTTCGCAGCTGCAGTTAAATGCAGAATGATGTTAGTGCATTCTTTCACATCTTTGCATTGTCTTGAGGAGGATGTCGTTTAGGAAGTGATTACACTGCCCACTACTGGCCGGGCGTTAGAACTACATTGTTTTCCATTGCGTCTAAACGATGTGGAGCCTGGTCTTTTTTGCTAATTTCTTTGCAGCGTCTCCGTCTGAACGGGGCCTAAGGCTAGAAATCTGTTACCAGGTAACTACTACTATTTCAAACTACAGATGCTTTGGAATGATGTGAACGCTACTTATTGCTTCAAATAAGCAATGAGCCACAACACGCACCTTGTTTTACAGCTATAGGCACTTACCGAGGCGTCTTTTATATTTCCATCTCCTGCTGCCAGCTTGGCTATCCTGGTAATGATGGGAGAGACGTTGGTGGGGCCGTAGAGCTGGATCTTTGGGAGGCAGTTCTGATAGGCCTCGACCACCCCTTGTATCTCTAATCAAAGACATAACACGATACATGACTGCAGCTGTAACATACATGCATGTGAGACTGTTGGAGGTTATTATTTCAGTATATGTTATGGCTTGATAGAAAGACGTCAAGCTGTGCAGGAGGAGGATGTGGAAGTGCACAAATCGGGTTGCTATTAGTACAGCACTTCACATACATCCATACTAACAAATGAAAATGCTCTCTTTTTAGATAAAAAAGGAAGAACATCCAGTTTTATTCTTTTGATTACTACTGCTGTTTTCCAGCCTCTTCCAAACAGGGATAAGCCCATTTCACAGTGATTCTATTCTTGAAATAACTCTTTGAGCAATAATGTAGAGTTTGTCGACGTATGGAAATTTGTCCTTTGCATTTGACCCATCCTTCAATGCCACTAGACAAACCTGTCAACATGCAGCTAGTTTCAAAAGCAATTTCACAGTTGCTTTTGCCATCTCTTAGTTGCTCCCTTCTTTCAAACATTATTGCCATTTTCTTTGCCCACCTCTATCTATGCAGACTTGGGGCTGATATAATTTTGTGATTGTAGTTTCCTTGAGAACAAATCTTAACATAAAATAGCAGTCGAGTTTTCTTACCTTCACATTCATCATCATCTGGGTTGAAATTGATGGCAAAGTCATGAGATACCTGAGTGGGTGAAATAAGCCACATGTTGAGTTTACAAATAGCTTCACATTCCACATAGTCTTCTGATGGTCCTCGTCTTGTAAACAGACTATTCTTTCCACCCAAAGCATCAGAGTTTGATGTTTGTCAAAGCTGGTTATTTGGCACGCATTAAATCCCTCCTCAATGATTCCTCTTACGAGAAACTGTTGTTTTTTTCACACCACCAACTGTCAGCCAGATCTGTGACAATTGAGCGCTCTCCAGCACTGGTTAAAGTCATTTTCACAAGTTATTCTGGGATTAAATCTGACAAATCCAGGGTTGATCATGAAAGTATTTTTCCATAATAGCTAGAGGGGAATTGGCCTTCATTCCAAAGAATATTGTTTCATAACTGGGTAAATGTTGTAAAAGCAAACCCAATGTAGAAGAATATAGAGAATGCATTACACTGAGTACAGCATGTTTTGCAGATCTGTTGTTTGAGGCTGAAAAAAGTCATAATCTTGATTGAAGTGGGTATTGTCTACTACAAGGGAGTAACATTGTGGACTCATTTTCTCTCAACAACTGTTTTTCTCATTTCCGTCTCGCAGCTCCACACTGCTAATTATGTTTGGGAATTGCGGGGTAACTCTTTTCTTCCTCTTGCTCATTGTTTGTTAATTTTGTTTTATACCTCAATAATACGCTAGTATGTGTTACCGCTTTGTAAATGTGCTATATAAAAAAAACTTGGCATTCACATATTGATAAATACATTGACATTATGGAACCCAGCAAACTAAAATACTTCAAAATAATCACATAATGATCATACCTTTATTCTAGGGTAATTGATTCAATGTTATTCTCACAATCCCTATAAATATAATATGTTGCATAACTCATTAGCATTCATTATACAATTCCTGCATACCGGTGTCGTGAAAGGGTCAGAAAACTGCTTGCTCACTTTGTTTGCATGTATCAAGCAAACATGAATATAAAGTAGTGTGCGGAGAAAGGGTCAGAACAGAAATGCTCACCTCATAGTTGGGAGGAATTCTTGCACCAAAGCCCAAAGCAGAAAATCTTTTATCACTGAAAAGGAGAAATTTGTCAGACTTTGGTCAATGTTTCTTTTACAACTGTTCAGTGCTGCAGGTTTGCGTGTTGTAAATGTTTCCGTCCTAAATTCGCCATTTTAAGTGGGTTTCTTGGATCAGTGCCGTTTTGCAGAGCTCTGCTATGTCTACTTTTCACACTGTATTTCTTCTGCTACTAAAGAAGCCAGAAAAGCTACAAAAGCATTTCAAAGTGTAACACTGTTTACAACTATGCATGGAACTCCATTACAGCTGGCTTTGAAGTATTGAGAGTGCCATATGGAGAGCCGTATATACACTTTACATTATGCTTTATATACTGCTCAACAGAGTTTTTTATCTAAAGCTACCCAATCGTATGATTGTTAATCTAAACAGATGTCTATATAAACCAAAACCCACTCAATCCTAACAAGTGTCTTCGTACTTATTAAAATCACTCTAAAACAACCACAAAATTAAAAGCCGTAGAGCTCCCATTTTTAAGTCTATTTTAATATTTTTTTCTGGATGATGGCCGTCAAAACTTGTGGTCTCTGGTCGTCAGGCCAAAACTGTTTTTCTTATGATACAATATGGACAGTTCTGCCAAAATAAATAAATCGTAAAGTGGGCATTAACGCGCCAGTTTGGGTTGACTCGAGCAGGAACCAGTGCGTGTAAATAAGGATTCTATGAACCTGTAGTTTTGTTGCAATTATTTCACTTTGTCAAAAATACTTAGATTTCATGTTTGTTCCCGAACATCCAAGCATTCAATTGATTCTGAGGACAGACTTTAGAACTCAGAAACGTGGAATCTTTTTTTGAGATATCTGGAGCCAAAAAGGGATTAAGTATTACAACATGCCCCCACATCAGCTGATAAACAATTAATGGCTTATGTACTTACTGAAGAAGTAAGACTGACTAACACATGCATCTGCACTTTTTGGTTCTCTCAACACTGGTGTAAACCCTGTTGTCAACATGATAGGAAAAATCCTATTACATTTTTACTCCATGCAATCAGCGAGTGAGTCCTTTTGTCATGTTCCCAGCTGAGTGAAGAGAGAGAACTGTAGCGGGTATAATGGGTCTCTCAGTGAGGTAAACTACCTACACAGAGCAGAAGCCCTATAATGCACTCACACCCACATAACCTACATCCACTGAAGGCTAAGAGGTCCGGATGTGTGCCCACGTGCAACACCAATACATGCTGCTTTTTCAAAGAAACATCTCTATGTAACAAGCCTCTATATAACAATGCCGTAAACAGATCTTACAAAACGCTTTTCATACAAAGAGAGGAATCATTCTAAAAACACACTTTTCATGTTCTAAATGGTTTGGTGTGTGAGTAACTGAAACAACGCCATTATCGTATTAAAGAATCCATTGAAATAGATTTTCAGTCCAGAGATAAGGCAATGCTTTGGAACTAAGGCATTTAAACCAATTGGAATATATTTATCTATTTCCAATAAGCACATGAGGGTCAGCCTTCTGTTGTCTCATTAACATTTACAGGATATAGTCCCAGGTCTGTTGCCCATGTCATTCCTGAATGGATCTCTGCTATTGTCCATTTTTCCCTCTGGAGGGTTCTGTGGTTCTTGAGCTTCCTCACAATGCTATAATTAGTCCAGTAGTGCACTTCAAGTATCTGCATAAATCAGTCGTGAGTTCATCCCCATTTAGATTAATTCAACAGATGAGTGAAGGAGTTTTTCCCTTAAATAGTGCATTTAAAAAGTACTTTCCCTTTAAGTGGATTTTTAAGGGGAATATTCAAATTTGAGATAAAGCAATGAATACATTTCAATACAAAGTTGGTTTAAATGGCCTTTTTCGCTTCTAGTGTCTAATGACTTGAATACACTGAACTGTCTCCCTTTGACGCACCGTCTGATACAAAGATGGCGCCTCGTACGGTCGACATGGCTCTTTGCTGCTCTCTTTTTCTTTTGTTTTTACTTTTTAACTGCGCATCTGGCTGTTCCTACACCCGTGAGGAACTTATGAACATCCGACCCACTGTTCCCATGGACCTATTGCCTGTTTTCTTGGCATCTGCGGCTGATTTAGTTCATGTTCTAGCCAAAAAAATGTGGGCCCGTAAAAGGGGAAAGCGCGGAGGCCTGCTCGTGCGTCTGAGGAGGAGAGGAGCGCGCACGGCTCTCCCCGGCATTTTTCTCTCCAACGTACGCTCACTGGGCAATAAGATGGATGAACTCAGCCTGCTCATGAGAAGAAACAAGGACTTCGCCACATCCTGTGTCCTCTGCTTCACTGAGACCTGGCTAAATGAGCGGATCCCGGACTGCGCTCTGGAGCTGCAGGGCTTTGGGCTGTTCCGCGCGGATCGCCATTGTGCGCTCTCAGGGAAGAGCAGAGGCGGTGGGCTGTGTTTCTACGTCAATACAAACTGGTGTAACGATGTGACAGTGATCTCCAAGCACTGCTCTCCTGCTCTGGAATATCTTTTCATTCATTGTAAACCATATTACTCCCCGCGCAAAATTGTTTCATTCATTCTTGCCTCTGTTTACATACCGCCATGCGCGGACGCGCGCGAGGCTCAGCGCGCACTCGCAGAGCAAGTACTGTGTATGGAACGCTTATACCCGGACTCTCTGATTATTATCCTGGGGGATTTTAATAAGGGAAACTTGAGCCAGGAATTACCCAAATACAGACAGTTTATCAAATGCCCAACCAGAGAGGAGAACACTCTGGATCACTGTTACACCACCGTGCGCGGAGCTTTTCGCGCTGTTCCCAAGCCAGCCCTCGGCTTCTCAGATCACTCCATGATACATCTGGTTCCTGCTTACAGACAGAGACTAAAGCTCTCGAAACCTGCAGTGAGGAGCTCCAAAGTGTGGTCTGATGAAGCTGTGGAAGAGCTGCGCGCATGCATGGAATCTACAGACTGGGACCTTTTCAGAGCTGCCACAGATAGTTTGGATGAATATACGGACACTGTGACGTCATACATTCACTTCTGTGAGGATAGCATCATTCCAACAAGGACCAGGGTCATCTATAACAACGACAAACCCTGGTTCACTGCTAAACTCCGGCAGCTCAGGAAAGCAAAGGAGTCTGCTTTCAGGGAGGGGGACCGCAGCGGCTACAAAGCAGCTAAATATCAGTTCAGGAGAGAACTGAAAGCAGCCAAGTCCCGACTACAGGAGCAGTTTGGTAACAACGATACTGCTTCTGTCTGGAGGGGCCTACGGGAGATCACCAACTACAAACCCAAAGCCCCCCCCTGTGCTGACGACCACAAGCTAGCTGACGATCTGAACTTATTTTTCAGTCGCTTTGATGCTGCCCCTGACACCTCTACCTCCCCCACCCCCCACTACTCTAACGACCCACCCATCAGCCCTGCCCCCAGCCTAACAATAGCCGCTAAAGAGATTAAACAACTCTTCCTGAGGCTGCACCCCCGCAAAGCTCCTGGCCCGGACCACGTGTTTCCGGCCACTCTGAGACACTGCGCCAGTGAGCTTACTCCTGTGTTCACGGACATTTTCAACACCTCTCTGCAGTCCTGCCATGTCCCGGCCTGCTTCAAATCCTCCATCATTGTCCCCGTCCCGAAGAAGCCCAGGATCACAGGACTCAATGACTACAGACCTGTAGCACTTACGTCTGTCGTCATGAAGTCATTTGAACGCCTGGTTCTCTCCCATCTCAAGTCCCTCACCTCCCCCCCTCCTGGACCCCCTGCAGTTCGCCTACAGAGCCAACAGATCTGTAGACGACGCCATTAACCTGGCCCTCCACCACATCCTACAGCACCTGGACTCCCCGGGGACCTACGCCAGGGTCCTGTTCGTGGACTTCCACTCTGCCTTCAACACAATCCTGCCATCCCTGCTCCAGGACAAGCTCTCCCAGCTCAACGTGCCCGATTCCACCTGCAGGTGGATCACTGACTTCCTGACGGACAGGAAGCAGCGAGTGCGTCTGGGGAAGAATGTCTCGGACTCTCGGATTATAAATACAGGAGCCCCACAGGGCTGTGTTCTTTCTCCCCTGCTCTTCTCCCTGTACACCAACCACTGCACCTCCAGCCACGACTCCGTGAAGCTGATCAAGTTCGCGGACGACACCACCCTCATTGGACTCATCTCCAACAACGATGAGTCCGCCTACAGGAGGGAGGTGGACCGGCTGGTGTCCTGGTGCAGTGGTAACAACCTGGAGCTGAACGCCCAGAAGACAGTGGAGATGATTGTGGACTTCAGGAAGACCACTGTCCCCCCACCCCCACCCTCCGTGATGGACTCCCCCATCACCTCTGTGGAGTCCTTCCGTTTCCTGGGCACCACCATCACCCAGGACCTCAAGTGGGAGCCGACCATCAGCTCCCTCATCAAGAAGGCCCAGCAGAGGATGTACTTCCTGCGGCAGCTCAGGAAAGCCAAGCTGCCTGCACAGATGTTGGTGCAGTTCTACACGGCCATCATCGAGTCCATCCTCACCTCCTCCGTCACCGTGTGGTTCGCTGGAGCCACAGTCAGGGACAAACAGAGACTACAGCGCATTGTGCGCTCTGCAGCGGAAGTGATTGGCCGCAGCCTTCCATCGCTGCAGGACCTGTACGTCGCCCAAGCTCGAGGCCGGGCTGGTCGTATCACAGCCGACCCCTCTCACCCTGCACATGGACTATTCCAACCACTCCCCTCAGGCAGGAGGCTGCGGTCCATCAGGACTAGAACCTCCCGCCACAAGAACAGTTTCTTCCCCTCTGCTGTTGGACTCTTGAACACTTCTTAACCTGTCCCCCCGCCCTTTATAAAGTCACTTTACTGCCCATCATACGTCACTTTACTTCACTGTACTGCTGTCACCTTACATTGTGTGCACCATGTGCACTTGTATATTGTAAATAGTAACTGTAACTCTATTTTAAATTTAAATTTATTCTTTAGAAGTGTTTTTTATTCTTATTTTTATTATCTCTTTTTGACTGTTGCATTGAGCCAAAGCAATTTCCTAGTCTGTGACCTCCTGTTACTTACGTGGCAATAAAAATGATTCTGATTCTGATTACATTTAATTTATGTTTTTGAAGTGATTTTATCTTGGTGTTAGCTCCTGCCACAGCGTGTGGCGGTCTTGTGCTAATGAGGAGAGCTGAGAGGGACTGTAGCACGGCGTGCGGCGGGAGGAAACAGTCCAGTTATCCACAGGGGAATACCCATGTATATACCCATACCCTGAAGCTCAGAAACTACAGACAGAAACAACCCTACATTAAGCGCTTCCATGGCTTTATTAGCAGATCACCAAGATGGGAGATAACCAAGTTTTATATCAAATAATTTCAAGTCAAGTTAAACATTGAGATACTATATGATGAACTATCTGATGGTAACTGGTGTGGAGGGAAGCCGCTAATGCCACAATATCAATACTATGAGGCTTCAGACAATGTTGACAGAGCTCAATTGATTTCACTGGATTTGTGTAAAGCAGGTACCTGTCTGAGTAGGATAATCATCGTAATAAAGTCTATTGTCCTAGAGTAGTAAAACACCATATCAATAAGTCTTCAGTTCATCTTTCCTGCCTCTTCAAAACAGTTCATTTTTAAGTTACTAAGGGTTTTAGTTTATTAACATAATTAACTAATTTTGTTCTCCACTTAAAACCATTTCAATGGTTATGTATGTAATTTTGAGCAACACGTTTGTGACGCCAGTAAATTATCTTTTTTTGCCAAACATTTCTAAGCATTAATTGTATAGTAAAGATGCTGCAATACTATATGCATTTGTTAAAAGTAGATTTAACTATTTTCTTGTTCTAATCAATCCGGCTGTAAACTAAAGACACACTTGTCGGGACCGTCTTTCCCTTTAGATGTCTCTGTATTTGCAAAACGTCTTTTTAAACAATTTGCCATATAAATAATCTCCTTCCTTCCTTCCTAATCATCATTTGGAATATTCTGATGTATTACACGGGTATTAGCGGTAATGGAAGGAACATGCACGTGCTTATGTCCTTGATTCAAATATCTGTAAAGGACATGCAGGTCTGAATCAACCTCGAGCATTAGTCACCGTTTCACAATACAATCACCTCTCGGGTATATTTTAGCACAAGGCAGAACACACAACTATCTTTATTGCTGAGAACACACTATGAGAACACAAAACAAGAGCCTGTACACTAGTCTGAACTCAAACGCTACAAAAAACAAATAGATTCATGTTTGATAGAGCAGGCTATTGTTTCAGCTGGCTGCTTTTTTCTCGTCTTTTGCTTACTTCTGCTGACTTTGAATAAGCTGGACTGGATTTTTTGACACATTCACCGCGTCCAACTCACCGTGAGACAGGTCACTTTTACTTCACATATGATGTATTGCTGTATTTGTAATCTACCGTCTATGGTCCAATCCAGACACTCCATATTTAAGCACTTTTTGTTTTTTAAAGAATAATAATAAAAAATAAAAAAATGTATAAGGACCGGACAGAAAAATAGCAAATTGAACATGACTTATTGATTCATGAGGCACGGATCAGAGAGCAGCAGAACTGTTGTCTCTATGACGGAATATAACAACGGTTTCTTTTATGGTTTTTGGACAAATGAGAGCCACCAAGACGAATGATAATGAAGCTAGTCGGCCATTATATTCTGATGAGTTCCAGCGCTGCAGTGATATTGTTCTACTAGAAATGACATCCACAGTGTCTTGTCTCTTTCACTTGAATTCATCTGCTGCACACTCATGCCTTCAAAGTTTTCCCTCAGCAGATGACAGAATGAAAATGTAAAATCATGCATATGGATGTAAAATGTTAGAGGGCAGAAGTCACTGACCTGTCATAGTCCTGACAGATCTCCCCGACAGCAATGAGGGCCTTCAGGTACTCGTTGGGCTGATACGGGTTTATGTAGTGCAACGAACAACTGTTTCTTGGGTCGCCGTTAGAAGCTGTGAAGTCAATCGCAACCTGGAAATAGGAAATATGGCTGTTACTTATCTGGGCCTGTGCTTTATCTGCACTTTTAAGTATAATATGGGTTACTGAATGAAGAAATTATACTACAGCAGTCTGAGAGGTAAGCCTTTTGCGTGTATCTTTTGTAGAATACGTGAAAAAACCCCGCTAGTTTCACAGTATATTCTGGTTCTTGACTGTTACCACAGTTATGTGCAAGATTTCAACTTTTGTAAATAAGAAAGAAAGATGGTGACCCGTATTAGTAATGACGTTGGATATATACAGTATAGACCAAAAGTTTGGACACACTCACCCACTCAATGAGTTTTTCTTTTCATGACTATTAACAGTAGATTCACAGCCAGGCTGTGTAAGGGCTATTAGACCGAAAAAATTGAGAGTGGTGGGTGCTGGGCCAGAAGACCTGGCCTCCACAGTCACCCGACGTGAACCCGACGTGAACCCAATCCAGATGGTTTTGGGGTGAGCTGGACCACAGACTGAAGGCGAAAGGGCCAACAAGTGCTAAGCATCTGTGGGAACTCAGACCATTTCAGGTCACTAACTCTTGAAGCTCATCAAGAGAATGCCAAGAGTGGGCAAAGCAGTAATCAGAGCAAAAGGTGCTACTTTGAAGAACCTAGAATAAAAGAAATATTTTCAGTTGTTTCATACTTTTTTTTAGTACGTACGTAATTCCACATGAGTTAATTCATAGTTTTGATGTCTTCAGTGTGAATCTACAATTTTCATAATTGTGAAAATAAAAAAATCTTTGAATGAGAAGGTATGTCCAAACTTTTGGTCTGTACTGTATATTTTGCATTATTATTATTAATACAATTTTCAACAAAACAAAAAGGTTTCCCAAACAATAGGTCAGGGTTAATGTACATGTTTTGTGTACAAATCATACCACAACATGCTGTCTTAGATACTTGGAGGGGGTAATTTTTACTAAAGCTCAGTTCATAAAAATGCTTATTACTACATACAAGTTGTATTATAATCTGTAATTGAATTTAAAACTTAAGCTCATTGATTCAGCTTGTGTATGAATTTAGGCCGTAAAAAGGGCTGAGTGAAGAACCCAATCACAGAACAGGCTGAGTCCTCTAGCTTCTACAACGCTGGTAAACAAGTGCCTATATACCTGCTCTGGCTGTAACTGCAGACACAGAAAAACAGCCCAAACGACACAACAGTGAGGAAGAGAAGAAGGAACTAAAGAGAAAAAAGGATCAAAGAAGAAATCAAGCCCTGGTGAACATAGCTAGCTTACATCCTCTGGAGAGACTTGTCTTTGGGAGAGACCTGCGGGACTGCCTCGGACTATCTACCGCTAGTACCTCGTCCAAATGTATGTACGAGTATAATCTTTCAGTTATATATTTTGTTAGCACTGCGTTGCTTTTGCACCATTACATCAGTGATTGTTGTACAGCTTAAATTGTGCAAATGCTAATGTTAGCATATGTATCAGATCGCAAATAAAACTAGATGGCTCCGTGGAATAAGAGCGTAGGGGAAATGAGAAGCCTGTGAGTGAGTTGGGGGGCGGTGCTAAACATTCAAACCTTGCAGAAACAGGTATAGCTCCTTTAACTATTAACTGTAATAACTGGTTTGTCAGATTTTAGTACTTATCCCATTTGTAGTATTTTTAAGTAGAAATGTATTGAATACAAAAGATCCCTTATGTAAGATTACTATGCACCTTCAGCAACACAAAAACACAAATGAAAAGCACATTTGCCCTTAGCGTAACAGTCAGGACAATAACATAAACATAGCCAGTGGCCAGAGATACTCTGCAAAGGCAAGAGCAACGCCTTCTCAGTTTACCGTAAAGTGAATCTGCATTCCTCCCATGATGTAATCCAAGAAGGAGTACACTCTGTGGAGCTGGAAAAGAGAAGAGAGCTCAGACAGGATGTTTGGGTGATTTCTCATATTCATCTGCTCTGTGTCGCCCTGAAGCCTCCTATGATTAAAGTGGAATTTATATAGATTAAGTACACATTTTTCCCTGAAATTACTTAATATCCCTTGATCCATAGTTGTGAAGCCAGTCAATCAGCTTATACTATGTAATATAGGTTCTGAATCACAAACTCCATCATAACAATTGATGGGATAATGTATCATATATTTTGAATTATATCTTTTTTATATAAACAATTATATTTCTGTTTTAATTTTTTCATCAAAAAGATCTGACGACCACCCCAAACTTTTCTCTTGGCCCCCACAGCTAGAGTGCCCTGAGTTGACAAATTTTGAATAATTATGACTTTTTCTGAAGGGTTGATGCTTTTCAAATCAGGTTGGTATTATTAACAACACAATAAAATAGACAGTGGGGATTTACATATCATACCTTGAGATCACGGAGGATCACAACTCCTGAATTCTTGTAATGGCGCTTCTTCTGTTTGTACTTGGGATTGACACAGTCCCACAACACCTGGAGGAAAAAGCCAAAAAGGCTGAATCTCCAATACGATAAATATAATTGACATTCAGCTGCTCCAGTGCTTACATGCAATAATAACACTGTATTTTCACTGACCTTATTACCACTGGAAAACTTCTGCATCTCCTTGAAACTGGTGTAAAACTCGCCGATGTAGTCGTGCTTCCCCCTGGAGTCATAATCCCACACAAGGCACTGCATGCAAAGATACGTTGCAAAATTCAACATTATACCATAAATGCTGCATCTGCATATTAATTATACGGATGCAGCACACTCGCATTCATGGCTCCAGTCCCAATTTAATTAAATTTATTCCTCGATAGCCCTAAATCACAGCAGTAGTTATCTCGCAAGACTTTATACAACCGTTGAATTTGCCAACACAGATCAGAGAATCAAACATTTAACACACGAAATAAAACAGAAAACACATAGATATTGATGCATAAGGGGCAGATGACCAATGTCCATAAATGTTGTTGAATGTCGAGTGTCCTAGATCACCACCACAGTCCTTTTAGTTAGACCTCCCAAGACTAACACACCCTCGTGCATCTGCAAGGAAAAACTCTAAAGCCAGTGGGAAAAGTGAGAAACCTCAGGGGGGTCCACATTGAGAGACGGATCCACTCCCACAGATGGACAAGCTGTAGACTCAGGACTCAGGCTACAGAACAAGGACCAAGGACACACGGTGCAGGCGGCTCCCCGGCGACCAGCTGTCACTCCACAGCTTTCAGACACATTCAATCACCTCAGTCAAAAGTTACTGCTCTAATAAATGTCTTCAAATTCACATTGAACAGAAGAGCTTGAGTTGACTTATGTAGCATGATCCTTGCTAAGTTCGTAGCATTGCTAAATCGATCTGCCAAACTTTGCTTGTTCCTGCATTGTGGCTTTGTGAAATTGAACATTAAATCCAGCAACTGAATAAGTAATATATTGCGTGAGCAGATTAGTAAGTAATTTTTATCCATCAAGCGCATTTCACAAACCAAGGTCACACAAAGCGTTTTACAATTCTGGTTGTATTTTCCATTCACCCCACACACAGATGACAGAAGGGAGATGCCAAACACAATGGCGCATTGAAGCATCTGACCATCACGATCCATTCACTCTCATTACATTCATTCCTTCTGAACATGTTCATAGTGGTAAGGGAAACCAAAACACCCGGAAGAAACCGGAGCACCCAGAGGAAACCTATGCAGACTCTGGGAGAATTTGCATACTCTACACACCTGGAGGTGGAATCAAACCTAGTGCTAACTACTGCGCCACCGTGTTGCCCATTAGCTCTGTGAAATAAAGTCTGACATCTGATTCAGAGTTTGGTATCGGTAGGTACTATTTATTAATTCATATTGATATCGATTTGGAGAAAGTTGCATCCCCATTTTTGAGATGCCATAAAATTGCTGCAGTCTAAATATAACATTAGCCAGTTACTCGAATAGAATAGAATGAATGTGAATATTATGAGTTTAAATATGGCTGATTTCTTGTATTAATATGGAACTTTAAGACCTGACAAACATTATACAATATATTGTTATGTGGAGCTGTCATTCATTATGTTTCTCTTTTTCCATATCAATAATATTCTCGTCTCAACATGTCCTTTACCAGTCGGATGTTATTATTTCATAGTTGGAAAAGGTAAGTATCCTATTTTAGCTCTGATGTCTGTAAATTGCAGCGTCTTGGCCCTTAGAGGCATCATCATAAACTCCTCATATTGATTGTGAATTACTGATACAATTCAGAACCGTGTGGATTTCTCACAGGGACCTTTTACCTTGAGCTTTCGGTCCTCATCGCAACTGCACAGGGATATTAGAGAGACTTTGAACGGCTCCCAAACAGGATTCAGGTTGTTCTTAATCATCTGGATAAATAGACGAGAGAAAATACAAGATTATAGCAGAGGACAAAAGCCACGGTAAAAAGAAAAAGATGGAAGAAAATTACCTCAGTTCTGTGTACAAGTGTTTCTGTCTCATCGTCATTTATTTTGTAGATTTCCAAAAATGGGTCTGATTTACTGAAGAGGTCCTGCAAAAAGATTGAGGTTAGCAATGACAAATGAAGTGGCTCGCACAATAGGTTGAACACTCCAAAAAGTGATGAATAATGTGTCAAGCACTTATTTTGAGCACATTTTTACTGCCTTAAAAGATTTTCCAATGGGAAACGCAAAAGGATCTTGTTCAGAAAATATGCAATAATTATCTCCCTTGAAATGATAAATTAATCAGTTCTTGAAATAAAACTATATGGGTTTGTCTCATTGGCAAATATTGTTTTTAAGACATTCAGAATGAACTCAAATTGACATAAAAACCACTCAATTCAGCAATTGTTATATATGTTAAATGTTTTTTGTAGTGAATCTGCCATCAAATTGTATTCAGACATGGAAAAGTGTGTTTATCAGTGGATTGGTGGTGAAGAAGCTAAGAAGTTAATTGTGTCTGTGATTAAAGGTCAGGAGAAAATAGTGCACTCAAGGAGTCAGGGGTTGGTCATGCTAATTTAGTAATGATGTTGCTCTATGAAATTAAAGCTATTACATGCAATTAAACTATTGATGCAATGTTTCCTGACGCTAATGCAAGAATAAGAGCCCAAGAATTCAATGCTGCTACACTCTGTATGTTGACAACAAGAAGGCATGCATGTGTATGTGTTGGGGATGGTTTAGTGCAAAAGCGAGAAATGCAAAACAAACATGTAGCGACATGAATCACTCAGATAAAGCTGCCGTTGCCAAAAATCTTTAAGACATAAGAACAGGATGTTGCTCCGTGTAGGAGTGAGCACAGAGCGACCCGAGCCACATTTGCATTCAGACTGCAGACTCTATACAGTGTGTGGGCCCTTTTGAGTTAGCTTAGAATGCCAACCATGGCCTTTGTCAGTGAACACTTGACATTAGGAAATCTTCTATGGCATGCAGAAAAAATTCAGTTGCCATAACCAAGGATTGGCTTTTGAAAGAAAAAAATAAAATGGTTATGAAACATTTAGAACACTTCTTAAATGTTTTCTGTGAGATAGTTTGCACCTCAATAAGATAAACCCACTGAATAGTCCAGGTCAGGTCCCAAAACTATTGCAGAGAATATTTTTGGCATTGTTGGAATTCACCAGTTCTCAGATATATACTGTACAAATTATGGGATTCTTGAGGTCAATAGAGTCTTCTGGCAGAGGAAAACAAACACAGTAAACATTTTGATGGTGGTCTTTGTGTGCAGAGTCAACGAGAGAGCTAAAGCGGACCACATTATGTAGACACAGCTCCTGAGGGTCATCCGCACACTCATTCACACACTAACACACGGAGAGACGTTGCATCCGATTTCTGTCGTCATGACAACCAGTAGCCAGTGGCAGCAGTGGGGCGGACTTCATTGGATGGCTATGCCCAAATGAAAATAAGATTTAATCTAAATGATGTCCATTTCGTGGCTCCAGCATTTATCTCACGAGTGTGACTGTCTTGTTCAGCGTTTACAGCCGAATGAGGTGATGACACTGATCATGTGAAACCAGTGGTGAATCAGCTTGGCTGATTAGAATATCAATATGTACTTTAACACAAATACATGTCTTTGTAAAATTCAACTGAATTCAACTGGAATAATGATTCACAGACGTGTTAATTTAGTAAAGTCCTCTAAGATGACTGCTGGTGAGATCTGAATAGACTGACCTCTGTGCCTTTATCATTCTTCTTGACTGACACAAATGTCTCTAAATCTAGCATGAATGGTTTACAGTAAGATTCTCTGGTTGAAAATAGGTTAAAATATTCTTCCTTCAAGAGGTTTTCATGGGCATGTATTTGTGATTTGTAAAATGATGGGCCGTATCTTGTTACTGGCGATAGTAAAGGCGGCGGTGCACGCCTGCACACAGGAGATAGCTGTAGCGAGTTCATGAACCTCTCTCCCAAAGCAGCGCTCTGATTGGTCTTGAATTGAGAAGGACTACATCCATTTGGACATGCGACTATATCACAGCTCAATATGTTTTCAGGTGCATTACAAGTGAGATTCAAGACGTAGCATTTGTATCTGTCGGCACCAGCGCTGCTCCCAAAGGGTAGACCCAGAGATCCTTCTCTCTGACAGAAGGTGCTCTCAGGTGCTCATTTAAGGCCAGGACCATATCATTGAATTTGCTTTATTTGAATTTAGATAGGGCGATAGTGGCTCAGTTGGTAGAGCATTGGCCTTTGGGCCTGAAGGTTGTGGGTTCAAGCCCACCGTAAGACCTACTTCACAACTCCCACTGATGACTACTGTCGTTGTGTCCTTGGGCAAGACACTTAACCCCACTTTGCCTAAAGCCCCCACTGAAAGATCTCAGCTCCTGTGGACTCACCACCTGCAGGAGGATCAGTGAGGGGCTGGTGCTAAGTGTACTGGGTGCAGCTCTGACTGCAACCCCCCTGACCCAGAAATGGATTAAGGGGAAGAAAATGGATGGATGAATTTAGATATAGCCCTGGTCTGAACACTGAACCATTGACCAGGACTTGTGTATCAGGTTATATTTTTAGACCCTCTGTGAAGCTGCTGTCAACTCAAGACCAATCAGAGCACTACTTTGGGAAAGAGATTCATGAACATGCTACAGCGATCTCCTGTGTGTCCTCTGTCTTTCTGAAAATGTGAGACAGGCTTCAAACTCAGGTTAAAAACAATTGTGTTTAGCTGTGCATAAAACTAGAGAATGTCTTCACTTTTTTAATGTAATGTGTAAGGTTAATGATAATTATTGATGTGTTCCTGCCCCTTTCATATCAAGGGGACTTTGATCACTCGATTAAATCATCTGTGTATAACAAATTATGAAAAGAATAGATGGAAAAGAAACAAAAGGCTGAAACAAAGTGGATGGGATGGTCTGTTCTATGGAGATTTAAAATGATATGCATGAGTCACATTTAAAAAAAACTTTTCAAAGAGATATGGTTGATATCTATCTTTTTTAAAGGTAGTATTTTTTTAATCCCCTTTTCACCAGGCCCCATTGCATGTTAATCCTAATACAAACAATTAATGAATAAGTTCATGCAGTAGTGAATGGGTGACACTTTGAGTCTGATAAAGTGCTTTCCTATAAGACAAGAATAGGATATTTTACCTGCAGTTCCACGTGGCACTAACCACACAACTGCATCTGTCACAGTCCCTATAACACTCCAATCTGGTGTCTACATTTTAATAAAGGCAAGCATTGACACAGAGCTATCTTGATTTTCTTGCTATGATTTTGAGGTGAAATCAGGGATGACCAAGGAGCTGTGCAGCCAGGAGAGTCTCTGGAAATGAGAAATGACTTCTGCTCTCCTGAGTTCTAAGTGGATATAAGCTCCTGCTGATTTTCAGATTGAAATATGCCTTCAGCGAGATTCTTCAGAGGACTGGGGACAACTAAGGTCAAAACCAGCCATACAATGTAATCGTGTGTCTTTTATCTATTTCTTTCCTTCCAGAAAAGTACATGTGTGGTGTATTCACACCGCATTTAATGGATTATAGCTGCAAGCCTATTATGTAAAGAGCTGTAATATTTCACAGAGTATTTCACTGCGCGTGAACACAAATCCTTTATCGTATTCAGTCTCTTTTGTGTATTATATGCTGTATGTCCAAGCAATATTGTCTCAGAACAGGCATCTTTATAGCAGCAGGGATGAGGACGTGATCATATCCAAGAGTGGAAAACCACTGCTCTATAGCTCATATGTAACAACAAAGACAGATCGAGTATCATTGGATCAATATTACAATTCTTGTCTCATATGAAATGAGGAATGCATCGTTGGCATTTCCATCACAAACAGGCATTCTCCTCACCTTATCATCAAGCTTCTTAGCAGAGAATGCAAGCTCTACATATCCGTTGTTTCCAGAAATTTCCTCTGCATGCACCTGAAAAGAAATACAATCCTTTTTGTTGTATTTATAACAATGTGTTGGAATACTGAGGAAATCAAACCCCTGCAGAATGCATTAAACATCGACTGGTACAAAGCCCAAGCCTAAAATATCATATATATTTGATTTATATTGTAATAGCACCAGTGTGCAGGATCCAGGTGTAATTATGTGCTACAATAAGTTGTCCATAACCTGATATAGGTGTGCATTAGGAACCAAGGCCAATAAATGCGCACATAAGTTCCTTCTTTTTCAAGTAATGGAATCTTGAACATGAGGTTTTTCAAGTAATGGATCTAGAGCTTAATACAAGTTTTTGTATAAGAGTTCAGAAGTCTTTCTTGTGAGATGGAACATGGTGCATTTCCGAAATAGGCTGTCGACCCTTTCATCTCCAAACGGTTTCCTTGTTCAGGATGTTCCGTGTTTGTTTTTACTTTGACGATAAAGAGAGCAGCATTGGCAGCGTTTGCCAAAAACAGTCGACACTTTGTTCCTCGCTTGGAAGAGAAACTGACAAACACTTATGTTGAGGCTGAAGCTGTGAACACGGCCGGTCAGTGCTCGACAGTTAAACTATGACGCCTACAACAGAGAGACGTGCCAGTGTTGACAGGGCCAATGGGATGTGACATCACAGAGGTGTGAAGCAGGTGAACTGTTCATTACCTCGTGCTAGTACAAGTACAAGTTAAACATTATTTACAGTTTATTAAGCTTAATAACTAATATCAATGCATTCTACGTTTTGGACATTAGAATTCTTCATATTACAGTGATACACAATTCATTATGATCACACTTTTTTTTCCCAGTTGTTGAACTTTTGATCACACCCAGGGACTTGGCAACGGCCTTTTCAGCTACTTCTTATTTTGCTCTGCTAGTATTTTTCTGTGTCATAATCCTCATTAATCTATCCTTGCTGAATATTCACAATATTTGTGAATTTGCAAACTCATGTGTAACCACTGAATCTGAGAGATACACATATCTGCTGTATCTGGTGTGAGCCAGGTTACATTCATCTGCTGCAATTCTAAATAATACTACGGTACTGGAAAAAACTCACGGTCATGGTAGACTTGCCAGCGTATTTTCCATACTTCAGCAACAACGGCTTAACCATCCTTTTCTGGGCTACAATCTACAAAAAACAAGATTACTGTAAGCAAATATAATAGTAATAATAATAGCAGCGAGACATAAAGCGCGGTGCAGTGACTCATCACACAATGAGTCATTTCTTTTGTTTGGGGAAAAAAAAATCACAATATGAAAAACCAGGTGCTGTCAAAAAAGAGATGTTTAATGTGAGAATGAGAAAGACAAAAAACAATGATGATTACAAAATAAAGTTTAGTCAAATCATACTTAGTCCAAAAATATAAAAGCAAATCTTAAAAATGATTTGCTTTATTCTAACTAATATTCTGCTTTTAACTCTAAAGCAATCTCCATAGAGTTTGGTATTATTTTCATTCCAACAATAATGGAACCGACCTGTCCCAGCGTGCACTCCAGACCGCCCAGAAAGTCATCTTCTCGAGTCCCGATGCTGTGGGTGCCGTGGATATCGAACACTTCAAACCTCAGCTTTTGCACCTCCTCAAAGTAATAGTCCATACAGAAGACTTTGCCGAACACTGGGTGCAGGTTGCTCTTGATGACTTCAGATCTGTCCAGCTGAAATGAGAACGCCCTATATCAGGGGTATCAAACTCATTTTGATCGGGGGTCAAGTTTAAAAACAGAAGAGCTGGTCGGAGCCAAAAGTGTAAAAGTGGTTTACTTTTATTATCATTATTTTATATTTTGACAGATTCATTTAATTTGACGTATTTTTGTATCGTCTAGTAGGTAGAAAATAAAATATTAGATTCATAGACAAATAAATAAATAAATCCTCGGCCTAATTTTAGAACAAATTCAATAATATGGGTGTTTTCTTGAGAAAATAAGCCTTGAATTTAAGAATCCCATTTCCATCAATTCTGCAAGTTACTGCAATAATGATAATGAAAAATCATTTCAGGGGCCACTAAAAATGGTCTTGCGGGCTTGAGAATGCCATGCCTGCCTTAAATCAACCATTCCATCTATTGATAGTTGATTTTGTTAACATCATATTTTGCAGTTTAGAAAAAAGGGATGGATTGGCGATAAGACTCTCAATATGATTAATTCAATTCAGTTTATTTCTGTATAGCCATAAATCACAACAGTAGTTAACTCGCCAACACAGATCAGAGAAGATGCAATGATAAAAACACAGAGCTGTTGGTCCTATGTGGGGACGATGACAGATGTCCGTAAAGGTTAATAAATCTTCTTAAATGTCCTGGATCATCTCTTCTGTCATTAGACCCTCATACAAGAGCAAGACACAACTCAACAAAAAAAATTGGGATTATGATGAAAGAATCTAGATTTCAGTCTTCAAAACTAACCCCATGAAAATATTGTTTCAGTTCACTCAAAGAAAATGAGTCGGGAGGAGAAGAGGGGGCTTTGACATTTAATCTCAGCCAGCAGAATATGTCCATGCTTATTTTGGACTGGATGACAAGTAAAAGCTGAGCGCTACCAAGTCCCATCTGCTCGTGATGTTGGATTTAGCCGCTCGCTGCTCTGTTCATGTTTGCACTGTCCAATTTGTCTCAGGGGTGAATCACGGCGGTCTGGGCTGGGCGGTGTATGTCATTATATAAATATGCATGACAAGGAATAAGAATTACTGTTCAGCAACATCAGACGGGAAAAAACTAGATGTTTATTTCTGCCGGTGATGTTTGATAATGAGGAAATGGCCTTTTAACCCGTCACTACCTTTTATTACGTGATACAGTGAGCTCCTGCGCTGTCTGGACAGTAGTTAGTAAATTTTATCTAAATAGCGCATTCCACCATGGCCACGGTTACACACAGCGCTTTAGAATGTATTAATGAGGTACCGATATTTTTTTCATACATTCCACACATGGTGCATCGAAGCCCATCACCATCTGTTCAGACGCTCATCACATGAAGACTTATTGTACATGTTTTTAGTGGTAGGGCAAACCGGAGCACCTGGAGGAAACCTACACAGACATGGGGAGAACTCCACACCCTGTCTGGAGGTGGGATCAAACCAAGCAGGACAAAGATGCCAAATAACAAGACCCTGGAACAAAGTGTGCATGTCCAAATAGAGTTTTTGATGGAGTCTTGCTGTTGCTCGGTGTGTCCATTAAACTCCTGGAGCATTGCCTGTTGTTTATGGATTTGGACAGACACCAAAACCCCTAGCAAAGCTCTTCTTAGCTTTTAGTTCCACTTCACCATTTGCCCATTAGCTGTGTAAGTGTTCTGTTGTTTTTTGTTTTTAATAATACTAATGTTTATATTGCACCCTGTTTTTAACCATGTTGGTTCACCTTGGGTACACCTTGGGTACACCTTGGGTATACCAACATGTACACCTTGTACATGTTAATATTATTATTAAATACAGGTGAAACTCAGAAAGAGAATAGAATAGCGTTCAAAAGGCCATTTAGTTCTGTAATTCAACTTAACTAAAATAGTATGGTACTCATAACAGGCAAAGTGAGATATATAAATTGGTTACGGTGTTGAGAATTGACTCACAACTTGTAAAAAGCCCAAATAAAACATCTCAGAAGACAAGAATATTTTGAAAATGGACTGTAATCCATAATCCTTAAAAAATATACCACACAAAGGCTTGGCATTTGTTGTCATGGTTGTCATTTTTTGGTTTCTGTTTTATTTTGTAATTCTGTTCCCCTGTGTCTTTTAGAGTTTTACTTCCTGTTCTGTTGATTGCCTGCCCCGCCCTGATTTGTTTCACCTGTGTCTCTCAGTTAAAGTCCCTGTGCTCTTTCCCTCTTGTCAGTCCATTGAATGTTTGTTCTCGGTTCGTCTTCTGTTCCTGTATCCTTTATACAGTTTTGATTTTTGGATTCTTTGTTATTACATTTTATTTTTTCAGTATTGAATTTTGGGTCCCTCCTCCTTTCCACCAAGTAACATTTGTTGCTTTACATGTAATAGGTCTATCAGATATTACTGTCGCACTTTAAGTTGAATTCATTCAAATTCTCCAAGGTTAACCTGTTTTTCTATTCATTGAATGCATCAAGCAGGGGGCTTTCATATATTTTACTAGTCTTATTAAAATCTAAACCCACACATATATACTGTATATATATATCTACACATTTAATTTCGACTAAATAACCACATTGAAAGATAACAACTGATATTAGCCAATATTAAGAACGTTTCACAAGACAAGCCATATTTAGGTGATAGCTGGGGGCCCAGTGTTTGATATGGTACACCACGGCGTGTGATCAGCAGCGTTCATCCTGCTCTTATTGTCTCTGCCTTCTACACACTGTGCCATCTGGAGGGGAAGAGTTGAGCTGAGCCAGATGAGTGTTTGTTGGTGAGAGCTAATCAGAGCTGCAAAGAAAAGGTTTTATTGAAATGTGTGATGCATGGAGGTGCATGACCATCACCAAAAAAGGATAATATCTCAGGATATTTGCATAGGGCGGCACGGTGGCTGAGTGGATAGCACTCTCGCCTCTCAGCAAGAAGGTCCTGGGTTCGAATCCCGGTCGGACCAGGGCCTTTCTGAGTGGAGTTTGCATGTTCTCCCCGTGTCTGCGTAGGTTTCCTCCGGGTACTCCGGTTTCCCCTACCACTAAAAATATGTCCAATAGTTCTAGCATGCGCCTCCTGTACTGGCCCCTCCCATCTCTGTGTGGAGTGAGAGACAAATGCCCAAAAAAAAAAATAACAATTGTAAACCGCTTTGAGACTCAGATCTGCAGTGAAAAGGCGGTATATAAATAAAGATTACTTAATTACTTACTTACATAGAAATGAAAGTTCTGTGACAAATTTTGTAAAAACAAACAATTGGAGGAAAGGGGTATTCTGCCTGCCAGCTATTCTTGTTTCATGACTCAAACTTGAAAATACGCTTCTGATGAATTGTAGTAAATAACTACTCTGATTCACTATAGTTTGTCCACATTTGAACTACATTTAAGGTGGTGGGCCAATGCTGGAATGCCTGAGACATTAGGACCTTGGTCAGAGCAGTAGGAATCTTAACACAAAAACGATGGTTTTAAATGGGCAAACATCCTCAAAATGCATCCAACACCAATCCCGTGATAGCATTGAAATGAGTGTGATCTCTCACCCACTCACGAATGGACAAATAAAGTTGTGCTCTTCCCATGTACAAAAAAATATAAAGTCACAAAAACTCAATTGGCTGCACTAAAAATAGCTCTCATATATTCATGCTACACTTGTTACCCGGGTCAGGTCGCCTCATCTGTCTTCTAAAAATGTAGAGCATTCAGTCTCTCGCAGTCCACTACATCCATGCAGTAGCCCAAACATTTCAGTCCGACAAATGACTTGATTTCATACTGTGACACCCATTCACCGAAAAGCAGCTTCAACTGTCAAGGGTTTAGTTACAACACCATGTTTTAACCACGTCTTAAACACTTTCCCAAGAACATAAGTCCAGCTAATGCTTAGCCATATCTTGTAACTATTACCGAAAACTATTGCTGTGGAATAATGAGTTCTCTAAATGATGAAATAAAAAATTAAAAAATCGTCATCCATACATAATGACGGGCAAATCCTATTGTCTTTCAGCAAAACAGATCCAATAAACAGCTGCAGAGTGAAATTCAGCTGCAAGTTAACTTAACCATTAACACATTTGTTTCACTGGTTGCACTTTGGGGTCGTGTGACGTTCTTTGGGGATTTCACACATAACAAGTGTTGAGTGCTAAAATTAGAATACTTCACCTTTCCACCAAACAATAGTAATAGTTATTAAAACATCCTTATTCAACTTGTCATCTGTGCCTCTTTGCCTCCTTGAAAATGCCGAGCTCTCAGAGGGTAATTGGAGTTGGACGTGGTTAGTTCTGGGAAGGTAAACTGCTACTGCATGGATGGCTTTTTGTTATTTTCCCAAGACCATGATAGTAAACACTATGGACTTTAAAGTACCATAAGAGAATTTGAAACCAGTCACTTCCCATTCAAAATGGCAGCACTGTGAATCCCTGGCTCTTCAGAGCATTCCACCTCAACCATTTATGTAGATGGATTACTCACATTTGCAGTCATCCATTAATCAAAAACCACAAAAGAAAACAATGTTGAAACATTATTGGTCAAAAATGCCCGTCAAAATCAATTCAGCTCATGTCAACATAAAGCATGGAAACTACATACTAATTTTTCTAATACCTGCTCCTTATTATGCTTAAGTCAGAGGTGTTTGTACATAATTCTTGCTTCTTATTATGTCCTTATTATGTTAACGATAGAGATTTTATACTGCTTATTTTTATGCTAGAGTTTATGCTTTATGAGATTTTATTTTAGTATAAAGTTATTATTCAGTTATCTTGGGCACTCCTCAATCCTGCTGTTCTGTAACTTGTGATGCAACACTGAAATTTCACCACTGTGGGATTTATAAATTTATCTTAATTTATCCAAATGTTGGAGGTACGGTCTCTGGGTTCCCTTCTAAAGAGCAGAAGAAAGCTCTTTGTCATTCTTGTTTTGTGTGTCAACTATCTTCTGTTCAACTCAAGGTTTGGTGGTCGTAGGAGTTCAGCCGCATGCACATCTACATAAAGGGGATATATATAATATATATATATAAAATGCCATACCTCTATCCATTGGCCGTTGGACTGTACCATGAGGATCACACAGGGGTCGGACTTGTTCAGAGTGTCTCGGTCCAGCAGAGCCTTACAGGACACGCGCAGCTCCACCTTGGACACACAAGTAGCCGGACCGCTCAGACCAGTCGCTGGGGAAGTGGCCTCCAGGATGTCATTCATCTTGGCTCAGAATGCAGAAGAGAGAAGAGCCAACCTGAGTCAAGCAAAGGGTCTGTGGAAGAAGCTCACGCAAGATGTGTGCAGGCTTCTTTTGGCTGTCACATAGAGAAAGACTGGTAATTCCCATGAGAGTAAAAAGGAGGAATCACCTTGAGAGGTATCTTACCTCAAGACATGAAGATACCGTTATTGGAATTTTTGGAGTGAGATTCTTGCACCAATGGATTTTGGATATGCATGTCACTTTACATTAGAGCTATGAAACACATGATTTCTATAATTAGACAACTTACAACACGTTTTTCATAGGTACACAGTACAATCAAAGGATAATTTATTTGTTCCTTCTTGATTTTGTGTTTTTAAAATAAAACGAACAAAGTAATAACCATCGTACGTCAGTTTTTTTTTCTCCCACTGAACAAATCCAAAGGACTGCAGCGTTTAAGCCCGACATGACCGTTTAGCACCATGGACAGCGCCCTATACACGTTGTAATAAGTACAGAACACACAAATATGCCAGTAAAACAAATTATCTAATCAAACACGTTTAATTAAATGAGTAATAAAGTGCACGGGCATGCAATAAAAGTCTTGGTACCGAAAAAACTTGGACTACTTGATCAGAACAATCACTTTTATGTCTCCTCGCGTGTCAAAGGGAATCAAAAGTGTGTGTACCTGTCCGCGGGTGATTCTGGAGGTTTCTTCTTCAACAGCGACGGGCGGCTGGTGATGGTGACCGCTCAAACTCGTGCGCTCGACTGAGGCATAGTGCGCTCTGGGCGGAGGACACAGGAGTGCGCTGGGGCTGATGTAAGCTCCTCACTCCTCTCGTAGTTCATTGGCAAATCTGCTGCAAACGGAAGAGTCCAGTTTTCGATACTACAGTCACAATCTCTTGAGTGATGGAGAGAATATCGAAGAGTATTTATATAAAGGTCTCTTCATACGCACATTAGCGACCACTTAGCACTACTACACGTATCGTGGTTTGCTGTGCACTTGTCTGAAGTACGAATCACACTGTGTCCATGTAAATATCTTATTACTTCCAAATATATTAGCCTATTCAATGAATGGACGAGAAAAGTCTTCGCATTCTAGCATAACTCTGGTGAAGCCTTTTTAACAAACAAACCTTTCATATTTGTTGGCAATTTATATATACGTTAACAATTTTAGAATTATATTTGTTCTAGTACACTATAAAAGTTAACCCATTTACTTCTGCTTTGGTAAAGTCAAAGAGAAAAAGAACCTTGTAGTTTGGCTCAGCCAGACGTCTGACTGCTACAGTATCACTGCATGCGCTCTGTTTGTCCTGCTCTGAGTGAGCAGAAACCTCTGCTTTGGGGCACACACCTGAGCCCAGTTACGCCACATCTCTAAACAGCCATCTGCTGCTGTGCCAAACAGCACCCCACATGACTCTTACACATGGATTACCCACTCCAAATCTGTCACTACCTCTGCCACTAGTCATGGAAAAAAACAATGTCAAAGGGCATCATCATTTACATTTTGTGGAAGACACTAACCAGTCTGCTTGCAGTTGAGTTAAATACTGTGTCACTCAAGTCATCGGTCAAACTGCTGGGTTAATACTGGGTTGAGGAAAGTCAGTGCTCATTTTCCACTTAGGAACACAACTGCTAACACGGGAAGGTCTAGTCAAACAGACGTGAGTAAAGGGCTTGACAGTCTGGTCAGAATGAGCGAGCATCCATTAGCTGTCAAGCTATAGTGAAAGTCATTCTCTGACCAAAGTGACTTGACTGGTATTCACCTTCATTAACTGAATTATTTAGTTTAATTTAGACGTCTGTACACAAGGGACACAGACAAGGACAAGTGCAGGAGGCTTCAACACCAGCCAGTTTGATTTAGATTTTGCTGGTACAAAATTCAATGCTAAGTGGTTTCCAATACCTCTTTAAAGTTGCAGGCTCACTTCATGCATGTATCGTTCGCTATGCCTTGGGCCTTTAACCCAGCAAAGATGTGCGAGGGCGTTAAGCCACCCTCTATACACCATTAACCCATTCTATAACTATGCTGCCATCTAGCGGACATGTAGCATAAATGCAGTCTAGCCTGAAGGAAAAGAAATCCACACTTTTAAACAATTTATTTTGCAAAGTTTCATGGTTTTCACTTCTTTTTCTCCACATCCTGCTCAGCAGCTTCCTTTGCTCTCTTGGCACGAATACCAAAGAGACGTGCATTAGCGCGGGCCATACGCAAGCTCGCAAAGGCCTTGAAGTTCTTCTCATCCTCTGAGATAATGCGGGCCTTCTCTTTCTTGTGAATCTGGAGGAAAATCCACACAATAAATACCATGTCAAATAGAACTTGACGTGCACCGAAATACATTACTTACAGTTTTGATGGGCATAACCACCCCAGAAAGCTGAGTAGCCATTTTAAGTTCCTCCTCCTGTATCAAGAAAACAGTATTAGTTTGACAGTTTGTAACACATACGAACTTCATGGCATGAAACATTTAGGCTTGGACACTATACTCACAGTGCTGTCTCCCTTCTTAGGAGCAGAAGCCTTCCTGGGGAACAAGATCAGCTTGGAGCGGTACTCCTTTAGACGCTGTACATTGGCCTGAAGAGATTCTGTGGATCTGTTGCGGCGACGTGAATCGACTGCAATGCCAATAGTGCGGGCTGTCTTTTTGTGAATGCCAGCCGCCTATAAGAAACAACAGGTTTATTTCAACCAGGATCATTTAATAGTAAGCAAATAATCTTTATATAGCGCTTTTTACAGACTAGAGTCAAAAAGCGCTGTACAATTGTCTTTTTTTGAGCATTTGTCTCACTCCACACAGAGTGGGGTCGCCAGTACAGGAGGCCAGACCTATTGTACATGGGTATAGTGGTAGGGGAAACCTACGCAGAAACGGGGAGAACATGCAAACTCCACTCAAAAAAGGTCCGGTTCCGACCGAGATTTGAACCCAGGACTTTCTTGCTGAGAGGCGAAAGTGCCAATTGGACAAACTTATCACGTTAGCATATGCAGTCATCAGAAAAGGGGTTCAAAGGTTTCATCAAGAAAATGCAGCGATTCCGGAGATTTATCATCATTTGACTGCCTATACTGTGATGAATTCAACAAAAAGAGCTGGCAACATTTAGGAAGGCCCACAAAGCTACAGATACAGAGTGGTTATTCATTTCAACGGTTCAAAGAACTTTACAAAATCTTGTGTTATTCTAATCCACCACATCTTTAGTGGCCAGTTGGTCAACCGATTGTGCGCCTGTGGACCCTGAGCGATTGGGCACTTCAAATGCCCCACTAAGACAATTAACATTTAAAATGACACATTTTCGTAAACATCGAACATTTAAAAGTGTTTTTTTTTTAAATAACATTGTTTTAATATTATGGCTAACAGATTTATAACATTGATTAGATCACATGAACGCTCAGATGTCTTGTGAAGGCTGTCACAAACGTTAAACACAGGTGTTGAGTTACTGGTCTGCTCTAGAGGTCTGAATCAATGTTAAACTCACAAGAATGACCCACAGATGTCAGAAAATAAAGGATAACCACTGAACAAGTTTAGGTGATAAGACTGATTCAAGTATAGCTGCTTGACAAATTCTAGTGTCTGGAAACAAGACCATTAATGATACACTACAACCTGGGATTCTAACCAGTTGGGAATTGTTGCCCTGTGACAGATTGTGAAACGTGGCTGTTGAAAGACTATTTGGGTGCATGTAAACAGTTCAGTTTGCCTCTACATTACAAGATTAGACAAGAGACCAAAAGAAACTTTACCTTGAGCTCCTCAAGAGTGAACCCACGTCCAGCACGGACCTTTGTGTGATATCTCACTGTTGGACATCTAACCTGGGGTCTCAGAGGGCCAGCCACAGGTCGGGGCGCAATGCGCCGGGCCTTTGCTTGGCGGGCTTTTCGCCTGAGGGTGAGAAAAAACGTACAATATAAAAATGCATTGTCTTAACTGCTTTGACCAACAAGTAAAATTACTAAAACTGTTCTACACGACATTCTGCACTTAGTTTTTTCAAACAAATCGGATTTCCAAACTTCCAATAAGCTCATTCTCTTTACCTTACACATTCAATAAACTTATTCAATGATGATAATGCCATTATCAAGAAGTATGAAAAAGCAATTCAGATAATAAAGCAGCCATCAGAAAAGGGGTTCAAGGTTTTCATCAAGAAAATACAGAGATTCCGGAGAATTATCATCATTTGACTGCAATAATCCTTGCGGTATTGATGTATTGAAACAATCTCTAAAAGAGTAAACATTAAATAAAGCCCACGAAGCTTTAGACGCATTTTAAAGCATTTTGGCTCAATACAAAAAAGGTTTAGTATTTGACTTAAGTTTTACGTAGATTCCCTTTAATTTCCCTAAACAGTACAGAGCATTTTCAAACCATACAATATCAATTTAAAAATGTAAACATCGATTGAAGATTGAATAAAATTACATTCAGGATCAGTTCAGTAGTATCATTATCAAGAATGTTAAACGATGATGTCATCTTAAGGTGGTAGTGTGATTAAACAGGTAGACCCGTACCACACATGCTACGTTGCATGGAGGTAGTAGATCCATGGGAGGTAGTCTGCTAGCTAATGTTAGCGTTCAGATTGGCACTTACCTACGGATCTTTCTTGCTGGCTGGTTGAACCATGTGCGGACTCTTTTCTGCCAGTCTTTATGGAAGTGAGGGTTGAGGATCATTCCATTCCGGCTGGGAGCCATGACTGCCTATTTCCCTGCAACACAACAAGACACGTTAGCTAACCCCCGGCACACACGTTAGCTAACCCCCGGCACACACGTTAGCTAACCCCCGGCACACACGTTAGCTAACCCCCGGCACACACGTTAGCTAACCCCCGGCACACACGCCGCTGTGCTAACAGGCCTTTAAGGGAGTTTGGGCACGATACCAGTGCACAACGGCCTTTAAATACTAGACCACCATCAGGCTTTACGTTAATATGAAAAACAACACTAGGGAGGAGAAACATGCTATCATCCCATTAGGAGAGAAAGCCCAAACTCAGCAGGGAATGGTAGCGTCAATATGGAATAAGAAAAAGTGTTTCATGAGACAAGAATCACTTTTTCAGACGGCCAACAAAACATTCAATTGTATAATGTAAACGCCACACTGTAATAACACGTAACGGCGCAGGATTGTTAAAGATTGTAGAAAATTGTGAGAGAAAACAGCACCGCACCTACTGGGAGGAAAATGGCGGAAGGAAAAAGGAAGTGACGATGCGGTGCATTGTGGGTTATGAACGAGCCAGCCAATCCTCAACACTGAACTGACTATCAACGTACTCCCAAAGGTAGACTCAATTTCGAAATGTACAATCGTAGCGGTAAATTATCTACATTTCACAAACATTTTCTTTAGTTTTGGAAAATCATATTAATTTAAGTGGCTTTAGATGACAAATTAAATCACTTTAATTTGATCACTCAGTAGATCCTTTTACAAGATCATGACAAGTACTTTCATCCATCCATTCATTTTCTTCCGCTTTATCTGTACCATCCATGGCTCCACACAGGTACACTCCTACCCGGAGTCCACAGCGACTCAAGCCTGGTCTGGGATATCCACGTACAACAAACTTTTCATTTGGACTTTTTGGAGTTGAACAGAAATCAATTAACTTATAATTATAATGTGATTGAGAGTATAATAAGATACTCTCACAAACTGGACAGGAGACATAATACAGACGCCTTCTTCAAAAACTGTCAGAGGATGTCCCAGGACACAGTGCAACTGGGGAGACAGAAGGTTCCTTGACAAACTAACATATGGACCATGGTGACTGTCTCCCCCTGCAGGACACTCTGCAACAATTTGAACCATGTAAACTGCAACTTTACTTCTCTCTTTAGCTCAGATCCTCATGCTGCTAACATTTACAGTATTATCTTATGCTACTAACATGTACAGTACTAGTACTACATGCTACAAACATGTACAGTAGTACCATATATTGCTAACATTTAAAGTATTATCACATGCTACTAACATGTACAGTAGTACCACATGCTGCCAAGATGTACACTGTTCAGTTTGAACCCTCAGAGCTCATGACTTACTACCGCAATATTCTTGCACTAGTGTATCAAAGATGTGTCTGCAAATGTATAAGTATATATTTACTTCACTAGAGCATATAGTATTTATTGATTCTTTATTTGGGTAGATATTTTATTTTATTCACTTTATCTTTTTTTACAAAAACATATTTTCATTCAAAGAAAATTACCTCAGACTCCTCACATCTGTCAGAGTCCCAACAAAAAATAAGAAAAGATACAACAACAGGTACGAACCATGGATCTATAGGAACTCATACCCATATTTGAAAACCCCTCAATGCAAGTCATCGGGCAGAGCGCTGATGGTTTGTTACTGATGTGATGCTGATGGTTTGTTTGATGCTGATGGTTTGTTACTGATGTGATGCTGATGGTTTGTTACTGATGCTTGATGCTGATGGTTTGTTACTGATGTGATGCTGATGGTTTGTTACTGATGTGATGCTGATGGTTTGTTACTGATGTGATGCTGATGGTTTGTTACTGATGCTGATGGTTTGTTACTGATGCTGATGGTTTGTTACTGATGCTGATGGTTTGTTACTGATGCTGATGGTTTGTTACTGATGTGATGCTGATGGTTTGTTACTGATGTGATGCTGATGGTTTGTTACTGATGTGATGCTGATGGTTTGTTACTGATGTGATGCTGATGGTTTGTTACTGTAAAGTGTGTCCTGTGTGTATTTCCAGCAGCTGGTGAGTCAAAGATAATCTTGAACTTTCCTAACCACACACACTTCCTCCGCCTCGGGAATGTAGAGCTCAGTAACCGTTTGTCACACTCAGTGTTTTGTACTGTGTGCTCCTCATTCCTACAGTTCTATAACTTGTGATGCAACACTGAAATTTCCCCACTGTGGGACGGATAAAGGATCTCTTAATCTTAATGCTCTCTGTGATCCTGGTGTTTATATTTCATATTGTTTTATATAAAACCAGATATGAGCCATGTAAGAATTGACCACATACATTAATTCTCCCGGTAAACTCCAGTTTACCTTAGTAACCATCTTAGAAACATGCCTGCATCTGTTACAATGTAAAGCTAACGCTGCAAAAAAAATTTAAGGAAATTGGCTCTAGCAAGCCAATGTTCAAATTGGCTTCTTCCTCTTTGAGGCTAAGATGGTGACGTCAGCACTAAGTCAGTCCACCCATACGGTGGAGTGACTGAGTGACTAGTACTGTCCTCCTGATTGGCTGGAGGAAGTGGTAGTGGACAGGGAAGTCTCTGCTAAGACTGCTGTCCCCACGACACTGCAACTAATGAAGTGGAAGAAAATTGATGGATAGATACTCATTTTCACAAGACCAACAGATAATGGACCCTCCACCAGAAAAGATGAGGGATTTTTTTGACGCTAGTGCTTTTGTGTCAAATAGTTCTACACAAAAGCAGTTTGTAAACTTTTCATTAGCCACACACACTTTAGGTTAGGGAGGGTGCCATGACTTTTATTAGGCCAGTGAGGCAATCATTTGATTAAGGCTGGGTCATGCTCATGGGTCATGTGACGAGTTTCCAGCTCAATATTTGTAACAATCCGGCATACCACAAATCTGCCGAGAATAAACATTTCTGAACCCAAAACATACTCAATACCACCATAAGGAGTACTTTTGTTGCATCGATGTATCATATTACCCATTTCAATGTAAAATACAGAGGTTTAAAACCTAAATCCGCTTGTTTAAAATCACAATTTTTCAGTGACAGATGTTACCCCCCTAAGTTTACTGCTGTTGAATATTATGTTAGTATTTTTCTAAAGCTATTCAATGGTATATAACATTTCGTAGTTTACGTAAATACCTGAATTTGCTGGTTCATGTTCTGTGGAGATACTCCATTAATCATTGATCTTATCTGAGCAAATCTTCGACTCAGGGCAAAAGTCAAGGTGGTACAGTGCAACAATTCAAGGGGTAGTCATGTTTACTGGAGCCAAGATGCATGCATCAATGACAATAGATAACTAATAATATAGACTTTTTGTTTTCATTTTAGTTTATTAAATGAATGCAACATGTAGAGGGCATGTTGCATTCAGAAATCACAACCTATTGTACTGGCAACCTGGTTAGAACTAAAGAGCATCTACTTCAATGGTTTCAAAATTGAAATAAATACTTAAGATATTTATGCATCTTAATATCTCTTGTCACATGCTTACTAAACTATTTGATTGGCTATAAGAGATTTACAAAAATATTACTCTTCCAGTGACTTAACAAATTTATCATATGCCGATTGATCCATGAGACCATCAAGTTCTTCAGACTTTTCGATATTCATCTTGATTAGCCATCCTATGAAAAGAAGAAAACATTGCCACAGTAAAATCCCAAAGCTACATTTAACAGCATCTACTGTTCATTAATACGCACTGTCCCTAACAAATAAACAAAATTCCTTATGTGACAAGACATATTGATTGATAAAATAGTGGTGATAATTTCTACCTTCTCCATAACAGTCTTTGTTTACAAGTCCAGGGTTTTCTACCAGTTCTGAATTGATTTCACACACTTCACCAGTGAGGGGGGAGTATAATTCACTGGCAGCTTTTACACTTTCCAAGGCACCAAACTCCTCTACAAATAGAAAAGACAAAGAAACACATGATAAACATGATTTCATTATGTTCTTCCACTACAAAATGTGTACACTTAGGTACATACCTGTTTGCTCAAGGTTTTGGCCAACTTCTGGAAGTCCACAGTATACCACATCACCCAGTGCCTCCTGCCATGATATCCATATTTAAAATAAGAGACACAACAAAATATAGCACACAGTGATTTATGGAATACAGCAAGTAGTCACCAGGCAACATTGCGGTTAATTACTACTGGAGATATAAGCGGAGTTGCACATGTTATCAACTGAACCAAAAACAGCCATAAACGTCTAGTTTGCTGGGACAGTAAAACTGAGAACAAAGAGCTGTACAAAAGTCCATCTACATGTATATAACATTAGATAGGCCTTCTGAACAGAGCAATAAATCAATATCATTAACAATCACTGCTAATAACTTACCTGAGCATAATTACTGATGCCAACGGTGCCAACACTCCCTTCTATTCGCACCCATTCATGTTTATCTGTGAACTTTAGAGCTGTGTAAAGAAAAAACGCCTGTATTAATAATTGTTCTATTGTGACATGAAAGTATGAGAACCATTCACCTTATTTAAATTGTTCCATAACTTTAGTTTTTTAATCCACGAAATGCATTTTGCTGAACTAAGTGACATTCTAATAGTAAAAATATAATGATAAGTAAAAGTATGCAACGAGTTAAAACAGTGTCACTGCGATGCCCAGAGGGAAAACAGCCCTACCTCACAACTACAGACATCCATGAAGTCATAACAAGTCACTACTAGAATCTATCCCTACTCTACTCGAAACTGGACAGTCACTGGCACAGCTAAATAGCCAATAGTCTACCTATTAAACATCAGATACGCTGTGGATCACTGCAAAAGCAGAACTTTTCTCAAATCACGGGACACCAAGATCCGGTAGAGTCCCATGTATTTAGACAAGAGCGGCTCATTCCAGTGAAGCACTTTTCTCATGATCTCCACTCGGATAGGTTTCTCAGTGAAACAGCAGACTCCACTGTTTGGTAGACAGGAATGCGAGGTCATCCCACATGTTCCAGCCTCACGGGGAAAGTAAGTTTGCGGGTTGTACCTGTGGACAGTGTCGGGCTGCAGCTGAGCGCCCGCGTCACGTCGCTGCGCACAAAGAGCCGAGCCGCGGAACCGTGCGCTGCCCACACGGACTGCACGGGTCTGAGGGGCAGGTTTACGGACAGCCTTCGTAACGCTGCTCTCATCGCCATCTTCTCTCGGTTTGTCCACTTTTTAACGAGCGCTCACATACACTTGTCCGCGGGAGCGCGCACATCCCTGCACATGGAGGCGGGCTTAACACGCTGTGCCGCGCAGCCACTAGGGGGACTCGAACACATTCTGGTTGCATTTCTCTGCACTTTGGTCATTTATGGTGTATATAACTTTTTACGTGTATATAAGTGGAACAAATATATAAATAACATAACATAATTAACTTTGGAAATAATTATTTATTCAATCTTAAAGTTTTAGACTTAATAATGATTTGGCGCAATTTGAAAAGTCCATAGGAGATTTTGTCTTGAATTCAGAACGCACCATATCCACAAGTTCATGGAAACGTGTATCACTAAAATACGAAATCATTTCCTTTTTATTTGAGAGTTGTAGCTTTTTTCAATAAAAATTATAGTTTTCACCCTCGGGTCAAAATGACCGATACAGGATAGCAAAGCTCGTTTAGACCCTCTCAGACCCGAATTTAAGGTTTATTAGATCCAATTGTTAAGTCTATCAATCAAATTTATTTATAAAGCACAATTCATACAGTGTAACCCAAAGCGCTTCACAAAAGCAATTAAAAGACAGACACAAAAAACCCCCATGAAAACAGTGTATATACATATAAAACAATGTATTAAAAAGATAAAAGTTACGAACATTTAAAAGATAAATACTTCAGATTAGTCATATGCATACCTGAATAAGATAGTTTTCAGCCTGGACTTAAACATTGCCAGGGACGAGGCCTGTCTCACAAGCTCAGGAAGACTGTTCCAAATTCTGGCCGCATACATTTGAAACGCTGCCTCCCCATGTTTAGTCCTGACCCTAGGCACCAGCAGGAGGCCAGTCCCTGTGCTCCTCAACGCCCGAGCCGGTTCATATGGCGCTAACATGTCTCGGACATGTGGTGCAAGGCCATGTAGTGCAAGCCAGTGCAGAGACTTGGGAACTGGACTAATGTGGTCATACTTCCTGGTTCTAGTCAGGACTCGAGGTGCTGCATTTTGGATATACTGCAGCTGTTTTACTGCTTGTTTGGAGAGACCTGTGAGAAGGCCATTACAGTAGTCTAATCTACTGGAGACAAAAGCATGGATAACTCAGGTTTAGACACAATACCCTGGAAATGTTTTTTAAATGATGAAGCCACTGATGTTATTGAATTTATGTGCCGCTAAAAATTCAACTCTGAGTCCAGAACTACCCCAAGATTTCTAACCTGATTTGCAGGCTTCAGGGAGAGAGACTGCAGGTAACTGGTGACAGTTTCTCTTTGCTTCTGTGGTCTTAAGACAAATGTTGTATCAGAATTAAGTTGCAGAAATTGCTTTGCATCCACACACACCGATTTGTTGAATCCAATGGTCCATATTCTCCTGTAGTCAGTGAGACGTAGAGTTGAGTATAATCAGCCTAATTGTGGAAGGAAACATTTTCATTGTGAATTAACTGGCCAAGTGGTAGCATATAAAGATTGAGAGGTCATGTGATACTCCACAAGTCAAGGCAATTTGGTCTGAAACATAATTTCCAATCTCAATATAATACATTCTGTCCTCTAGATAGGACCTACACCACTCTAGAGCCATGCCAGGGATCTCCACCCAGTTCTCCAGTCTCTGCAAAAGGATTTCATGATCCTCGGTATCAAATGCTGCACTTAAATCTAATAACACTTGCACTGAGACTTTGCCAGCGTCCGTGTTCAGACGTATGTCATTTACCACTTTAATTAGAAAAGTCTCTGTGCTGTGGTTTGGTCTAAAACCTGATTGGAACATATCAAATCTCATCAGTTGTTGATAGACAACTTATAATTATTTAATACTGTGGCATCAAGGTTACTTTTTTTGAGGACTTCTGGCTTGATGACCGCAGTTTTAAGGCTCTTTGGAAATGTTCCGGACTCTAATGATGAATTTACAATTCTGGTGATGGATGGTAACAGGCAGCTCACTACAGATTTTGAAAATGTGGGTAGAAACGCTGCAGGTAGATGAACTCCATTTGAAAATTATATCATGGATCATGTTTTCATTAACGGGTGAAAAGCAGGACAGTTCCAAATGCTTAGGTGGCTGTGGATTCACTGTTTGTGATGTGGACTGAATTGAGTTTTAGATACCTTGAACTTTTTCTTTGAAAAATATTGCCAACTCATTGCATTTCAATATTGTGTTTGATTCTAATGGCATATGAACTGGAGGATTGATTAAATTGTTCACCGTTTCAAACAGGACACGGGAGTTATTATTGGAGTGTTGTATTCCTGTTATAAACATCGTCCACATGCACATTAAAAATCACCTGTAATGATCAGGGCATCAAAATCTACACATACAACTGTAAGCATTTGGACAAAAATCATGCTGGGGGGGTTTGTAAATAACCACATAGATTATGGAAGGAGATCTTTTCTGTTCCATTTTGAATGACGTACTCAAATGATGAAAAAACCCCAAATGACATTTGACCTTTACTATTTCTAAACAAAGCGCAAATACACCGCCACCTTTTTTACTTTCACGTGCTTCAAATTCATGTGTAATTGGGTGGAGCAGATTTTATTAGGACTGTGTTACCCGTTTTTATGTCAAGCCACACTTGTTAAAAACAAAGATTATTAACATAAGATTATAAAAAGATATGAAGTCATTTATTAAAAATGATTTGTTACAAACTGATCTAACATTTAGAGTAAGCTTCAGATCACTTTCTGTGGAACTTGACAGTACATGTGTACAGGGGATATTAATAAAGTTCCTTTGATTTGACGTTCTAACAGTTTTCCTGGTATTCAATCTTGGTACAGTCTTTACACAGGGAATGTGATTTTCCAGTAGTCGAGATGCGGTGCCTTGAAATAGTGCATCACCATTGAGAAGATAGGGGTCACTGTTCGTCTTGTTGTACTTACCCGGTGAAGAGAAAGTAGAGAGGGGCGGTGAAGGTGGGCTGTGATGTCAACAGTCAAAAAGGTTTGGGAGACCCCAGTTTCAGACCTACTCTTAGAGTTAGACTACCATATATTTAGCACATCGAGTGTTGTCATCAGCCACTGGAGTTAAAATGATAAACAATACAGAATAAATGTGTACCGATGTCAGCTTCTTTATTACGGTTTTGGACTTAGACGGCATTAGTCAGATAAAAAACATTCTGTGAAGCACAGTTATCACAATCCAGGAAATATTAAAATGTGAATCAAAAATGAAATAATCAAGTAGTAGCTTGAAGAAATTTAAACCCTGGACAAACAAACATGAATTGAACAGACTGCAGTTGATCAGTGAGGAAAAGTGAGATCATGTTGTAGTTATTGTGGGATGTCAGACGGATGTGCCCTCTGCAGGTGCTGTGGCCTTGTTGTCATCAGGTTTCATAGCTGGGAAAAGCAACACCTCCTGGTGGACACAAGGAGAAATGTCAAGAATGAACAACTTCCTTGCCTCACATTTCCAAGTTGAAGTCGTTAAACATCTTTAAAAGTCTCAATTTTCTAAATGACAACTGGTGTATTCACATAGTTTTATTGTGATGCACCATCATGGCCATTACTGTATGTAAGCAATATTATAAACACCATAAAGTAATTTCATAAAGTTTCGAAGTATACACGAGTTATTTCTCTGATGTTGTTGGATATTCAAACAAATCTAAAATTCTTCCACATCACAACATCGGTACAAAGAAGTTGAGAGGCGAGGGGAGATTAAGCCAATCGCTGCGTTTCCACAGCAGAGTAGGACCACTCTGCGACGTCATGAGTTTCGATCGTTGCAAAAGCGAAACTCATTATGCCAAACCCATTTTTTGATTTCACGGTCGTAACCACTCGTTGTTTTGGTTCTAGTTTTTTTTTTCTACTTTTCACAGCTTGTTTTAGAGTGTGATGAATCCCCAGTGCTTTGAGGTGAAGCTGATATCTTTTCATTTTGCCGTCATGCCTCAAACCCTGTCTGAGTCAATGCCACGCAGTTGTTTGCCGTTTCCAGTGATGTCTGCTAAGCTAATGCTGCTGGGCTAATGCTGCTGGATTTTTAAAATCCCGGTTGTTTTGGTGTTCTGCTGGTGTCAGAGCCTGCGCTAGCTTTAGCCAATCAGCGCCGGGTGAACCTCAAGCCCCACCAGGAGCTGTTCAGGGCCCAAAAGAGTACCTAGCATGGAGGAGGGACTCCTCCATGTTGGTTCCCGTGAAAGTTCCTGTAAATGGCGCTGTGGGGGAGATTCCTGCAGTGGAGACACACACCGACGGGTCTGGCCCTGGAAAATTACCCCAAAGTTACGGCGGTGGAAACACGGCTAATGCAGGGTCTTGGTTGATCCAAGAGGGGCCAGAGATAGCTCTGCCTACAGCGGAAGCCCAGTGTTTGGAGGGCCACTCTTGGCTCTGGTCAGTTTGAATAACAGCATCGCAGAAATGAAGTAGAGTTCCGTCCGGGCAGTAGTGCAATATTAGAATGTGCAATGGAGCAATAACTAACCAGTAGGTACGTATTGTGCTACATTTTGTGTGCTGCTTGTGACTTGTAAGAGCGCTACATCTTTCCACTCCCTTATATATATGACTTAGTTATGTGCAACAAATAATTGTTCATTTCCACGTTATAACCCTTACATTTAAAAAAAAATACTGCCACACACATTTCACAGGGCAGTCCAGAGTACAGTGACGACACGCTCTGGTCTAAGCAGCTTTTGCTTAAAGCTGCATTACCTTACTTTATTTTTGTTTACGAAAATTGTTCAGGGCGGTTCTGCCCTGCACATTCCCAGTTCTGGAGTTTGACCCTTGAGCAGGAAGTGTGGACTGCAATAGTGATCCTCGGGCCTTTGTGCCTCAAGATTCTGAGCCATCTCCTGGTCAATGGTAGAATCAGAAAATGCCTATCCAGACAGTGATGGAGCGCCTCCACATTTTTTGAATCGCATATTCATGACATTTCTCATCACATACGACATTCCTCATCACATATCCTCTACCTCTGGTGGAGGTAAACAACATAACTCTGTCAATGTCCAAATATTTATGGATTTGACTGCATATGGATTTACCTTGATATTGTTGGAGTCAGTGAGGAACATGGCGAGACGATCTATTCCCATTCCCCAGCCAGCCGTGGGAGGCAGTCCGTATTCCAATGCAGTGCAGAAAGTCTCGTCAATAAACATGGCTTCATCATCACCCTCGGCTTTGGCCTGGCCAAATATGTGTAAGTTAACATGGCTGCATCAGTACAACGCAGGTATGTCAATACATACCTGAGCTTGCTGCTCAAAGAGTTCTCTCTGTCGAATTGGGTCGTTCAATTCAGTGTAAGCATTGCAGACTTCTTTCTTCATCATAAAAAGTTCAAAACGCTCTGTCAGGCCCTTTTGCGACCTGTGCCTATGAACAGCAACAGTGTCAGTATCTCCAGTATTACAGATAATTTAGTCAATATGAATCTCTACCATTTAGCCAGAGGGCTCATGATTTGAGGATGGTCACAGATAAAGGTTGGGCTGATGCATGTGACTTCAAGGAAATCACCCACCAACTAAAAAAAATGCATCAAGTTATGAATTCAACATGTTCCAAGTAGATCAAAGATGAATGAATGAAAAGCACCTTGTCCAGGAGACGTGCGGTGGTTCTTGGTGGTGGGCATTCCACCCCTTTTTTGGCACACAATTCGTCAAAGAACTTGCGCGTCTCTAAAAATCCCAGTTATTAATTAATACATTAAAATAGTGTACACCTGTACATGTTTTTAAATGCAGACCAACGGGAAAGAATTCAGACTATTTATAGATACTTGCCATCAGAGTCATAAGAGTCTGTAGGAGGGAATTTCACTCCCATAATTTTCTCAAGATCGTGGGTCATGCTCACTCTTTTGAATGGAGGGGTGAAGTCAATCTCATAAGCTTCACCCTCTGGTCCATCAGGATGATATTTTACTTTGTATCCACCAGTGATGTGGAGGACCATTCCTGATAGAAAAAACATTTTAATAAGAGAAGAATAAATCACTATAACAGAATCAGAAATAAACTATTGTACAATAAACCTTTATGGTTATAAAAGAAAGCATGACATTTGTGTATGGTGTCTTACCTGAGAGAAGCTTTTCTGTGATGTCCATGAGGTCATGGTAGTCTGCATAGGCCATGTAGAACTCACAGGTGGTAAATTCAGGGTTATGCGTAAGGTCAATGCCCTCATTTCTAAACTGACGCCCAATTTCATAAACTCTATCCATACCTCCAACTACAAGCATCTGAAGAAATAAAGATTTGAAGTTTCATTCTGAGATTAAGAAGTGTCTTATATAAAACATGGGTATAAGCAAAATATAAAACGGTACCTTATGGTACAACTCTGGTGCGATTCTCATGTACAGATTCATATCCAGCTCATTGTGGTGAGTAACAAATGGACGGGCTACTGCTCCACCAGGAATAATGTTCATCATTGGAGTTTCAATCTTGGGATAAAAGGGAATCCATAGGACTTATCTTGCAATATGACAGTTATTTAATAAACACTGTGTTGCAAAATGCATTGTTTACCTCCAAAAATCCCATCTGGTCCAGAAAGTTGCGCAGATAAGTAATGATCTTGGCTCGTGTTAAAAACTTCTGTCTCACATAGTCATTTAGGATAAGATCCAAATACCGTTGCCGGAATCGTGTTTCCTGAAAGAAAAGTGTGTATCACTGGGATTAGAATTGAGAAACGTGATATTAACTAAAAAACTGTCGAACATGCTGGATTTTAAAACATGGATGAAAGAGTAGCAATGCTACAAACATTATTCAGAATACCTTGTCTTTGAGGCCAAAGTGAAGATGAGGCAACATGTGTAAACAAGGGGACAGCAGAGTCATTTCAGTGGGAATGATGCTCAACTCTCCTTTTTTAGTTTTCCCCGGATTCCCACGAACACCAATGATGTCACCACGCCGAAGCTTGTTGTTAATTGCTACAAAATCGTCTTCAGACTTGTAATTTCTGGTAGTAAAAATAAACACCTCGGATTTAAACAAAAACTAAAAATAACAGCAGCAACAGCTAAATGAAAAGTCATCAGTGTAATCATAATGAAACTGATGCAACATCCATTGTACTGCGTGGCAACAGTGTGTTTGTGCAAGTCGCTGTGTGCTGGTGATTCATAGTCATGTATTCAGATGCTAATACAGTTGCATTAGCAAAATATTCCCAAATTGTCTTTATACCTCGAGTTTGCCATAACTTGCAGCTTGACTCCTTCACCTCGCAGATCATAGAAGATTAATTTAGCACCGGAAGCTCTCTTGGCATGGACTCGACCTGCCATTGAGAAAAAAAGTGAATAAACCAGCAATGTTTGATCAACTATTTTTTGTTGCACTCAGTCCAAATGGAACTTACCGGTTACATTCAAGGTGACATCGGACACCTGGTCCCCTGGTTGTAGATGGTTATATTTCTCAATGAAGGCTGTGAGAGACAAGTCAACATGATACTTGTGGGGATATGGGTCCTCTTCAGTGCCCTTTAGTGCCTGGATAGCTTGAGTACGAATCTTGAAGTATTGCTACATGAAAAAAATAACGTTTTCTTAAAGAATTTGTTATTTTGTTGACAAAAAACAAAACAAAGCAATGCCTACATTTGGATCAAGTGTTTCTTCATCTAATAAATTATGGGCATCATCACTTGTTTCCTTCTTTTCCTCCACATGTTCCTTAATTTTAGCCTCTTTCTCAGCAGCCTTTTTCTCAGCCTTCATTCGCCTCTTCAACTCACTGTTCAGAAAAAAAAACAATTATAACAAAGATTTCTACAAATGGCATGATATACACAGCATCAATACTAATAATCAATAACATGAAGATGTTATAACATAAAGGGCCAAAAAGGTTGGTAGTTTTTCACATGGGCCACCAACCTTTTGCCACCTTTCCATCGGGTTCCACAGATTTGAGCAGGCACTGCAGCAGTACATGGTGGTGCATGTTTTAACCACTGCCCATTACTGACCCTAAACGCTTGACACAGCTGGTGTCTGGCTACTCTGAATATACACAGCATGCTGGCTACCAAATTCCGAAGACAAACCTGAGGAAATAGTATAAGCTCACAGTCTATGGAACATGCAACAATAGTTAACTCGTTAAGTTGTTAACTAACAATGCTATCCTGGCAAACGAATGAATGACAAATAGGTAAAGGCCATAATGACCCTTATGTCGACAAATGCAATCGTTGACTTTGCCCACTTGAAGGGCAAGTGGTCCCAGCATCAACACGAGCACATGAAATCCTTTCGGTTCTGTCAATATCGCATTGATATAAAGGCTTTAATCTATGTTGTAATTGAAAACTAAGCCATCGTGTTGTAGAATCGACTCGGAAACGTGTACGGAGCATTCCTTCAAGTGCGTTTCGGATACTGTAGTTTCAACACTTGTTTTTAAAAATGAAAGAAACCTGAAGCCAGATCTTAACTAAACTACATCTACCAGGACCACTACCGCAAGGACTTCTGGGAAATGAAAACCATATGGAGCCCGCGACTACTTGCGGTCTTTAACCTGATGTAATATTAAGCAATATTCCATGTGAGCTGCTAGTATATATATCACAAGAATGCAAAGGCCTTCGTGCGGCTGTAAGGAGGGGGTTTTGTGAGTGAGATTTAAGTGAAAAATTAAACTCACTTTTTGCTGAGTTTGTCAGCTCCGTCCGCCGCTGTCACATCCGCCATGTTGGCCGCTCGTGCGCTCAGTCAGAGCAGTCTGTGGTCTGAACCTGCGCGAAGTACGGAAGCCTGGACGGCGGGGGAGAAAGGGAGGCGAGAATTAAGATGAGCTTTCTCTTCGCTGAAACGAGACGTTTCTGAGAAGGTGCCGCCTCGGGGGCCCACATTTCTCATATACTAGAAACTGCAGTTACCGATTACGTATAAGATAAAATAAGAGCTTTATCTCATAGTGGATACATTTACAGACTACTATTACTACTGCTAAACTGTACGTGACAAAATGTGAATAAAATCTTGGAAATAACAGTGTCTTATTTAATTATTTATTCATAAAGTGGTGCAGAATATATTTTCAACTCATTTAATTGGAATCAGTCGTCCTAACATCTTTGCAGAAAAGCGACTTGAACCTTTTCTCAGTGCAATTGTGACAACTAGGGGTGTGACCATATATTGCGATACTTTCTCCCGCGATTCGATTATCGATATGCATTTTCCAAGTATCGATATCGTTTTTTTTTTTTATTAGTATCAATACTTAATATATGGCCACATTATGCATCTCCATTCCATTTATCATAAAATAAAGTGTCTTTTTTCACTTAATGTTTTTTTTATTTATGCCATAAATTGGCATATGGTATATTTCTGACCAATATATTGATAATCGTCATATCGTGATAAAATCGTTATCGCGAGCTTTGTATCGTGTATCGTATCGTGAGGTACCCTTAGGTTCCCACCCCTAGTGACAACCTTCGATTCATTTGTCAGTGGTGTAGATTTCCCTTTCAATTTAATTGATTCATTAACTTACTTCCTACGTGAAGAGTAAGCCATTTAGTTTGCCAATAATATTAACTGTGTAATTGTGTGAAACCTTGTGCAAAATTGATAAAACAAAAACAACAGGAATTGTAATACGAATTGTTAAACTTTAATAGAGAAACCAAAGAATTCACATAAAGACTTCCTTAATTGTTTTGTGCAGTCACTACATATGGCACAAACAAAGAGTAGAAATTTGCCAGGCAATTTATGTAATGAAAACATAACAAAAATGTAAGGTAAGGTGAAGTCTTATATTCACAAATTCGTTCTTAAAATTCACTGATGCATTGTCAAAGCAAGATATGATGCTGATGCATTCTTCGTCAGTGTGTACAGTACCACTAGTCAGCTATGTGACACATAAGAGTTATCGGAACTAAAATACTGGAGGCCTATCACATTTATTTGTTTTGAGGAAGCTGTTCCCTTGGGAAATTTTGAATTCGCGCCAAAGACAGATTACGGTATGAAAATGCATGTTTGGACAGGTTTTGCTCAAATAAATTATACTTCAACACATATGCACTGTGACAACAAATAGTAAGGTTTAAATCTAAAATGTACATTTTAAAACAATTTAAAAACATATCGATCCATTGCAGCTATTAGAAAGCAATTCACAATGAGTTTTTTTTTCTGGTTTACTTTAAGAATACCATAACTGACCATTTTTTTTCCCCATTCATGCTTTTACATTTTGTTACATGTAACATGTTATATGCAAATATCTAATTGTCACTATTGAGACCAGCCCCTAGTTTCTGCGATAAGGTCGAGTGAAACCAACAGATGACAAAAAGGTAATGGAAAATTGTTATACAAGCCATAAAACTGGCAAAACCATCAACAATGTAAAACAACTCACATGTAGTTACAAACACGAGCCAACATTCATTTACTGCCCTCACTAAACATTGGTGAATATGCTTTTAACAACGGCACTTTACAATACACATGGTAGACACTAATAATACAACAAACAACACAAAAACTGAAACTATTCTTCAATGGTTCAAATGCAAAAAACATACACTGGTTGAGAAGTGTTGAACTGTACTATGTTTAAAAACATGACGGCGACATCTGCCAGGCTCCTTTGTCAGATCAGACCAAAGAGTGTAAATAATGTTCAAAGACAAACTGTGGAAATAAATACTATTGGTTTTTTGAAAAATACATTGAATAACTTATACAGATTCCGGTAATGCATTAAAAACCAGACATAATATTGCTGGTCTTCCACTGAATAAAATCATTTTTTGTTTTCTATTGGGGAGCACAGATGAAAAGGAATAAACAAAATGTGGTTGTTTATTTGGTCCCACAATAAACTTCAATAGCAACAGTTCAATTTCAGTCAACCATGAATGCTTGCTCACTGTCAAATTGATAAAATATGTAAAAGTTGCCAATCTTGAGTTATTATACTTCATTTAAAAAAACTGTAATATAAACAATGTTGGAATAAATAGCTGTTAGAATGAACGCGTTAAACTGTTTGCAGAATCATGTAAGCTAACCAGCAGCTCGTCCATCTTCTCCATGTTCTGAGATGCCGTCATGCTGCTCTGGACTGAAGCCGTCTGGTTCAGCAGGGACTGGATCCGGGCCTCACTCTCTCTCTGGTTCTGACCCGACTGGCTGATGGCAATGATCTGATCGGACACAGTGTTGCCCGCTGGATTCATTAGTTGACCACACTCTGTGATAATAATAGAATAATAATAATAGGATTGAGTAGAATAAGAAAATACATATTATGTGGTACAGTGGTTCTCAGCAGGTGGGTCGTGGGATCCTTTTCAGTGGGTCACAAGCCTTTCCTTAGCAACATAATCAAAATCCTATTGCTCAGGACTACAGATGGAAAGTATGGTGCGAGATCTGGTGCAACCACCTTTTTTTATGCAACTACACATTATGCTTAAACTTAAATATGTATTCAATTGAATGTATTGTTCACAACATGAAGTATTTCAGATCAATTACAGTCGTGGAGGTGTGTACGCTATCTTTGTGACAAATTGACACTCGAGGAAGCGGTGTAAAGCTTGTGCTAGATGGGGTCAAAGGAAGCATATTTCTCTTTAAAATAAGAGTTGCCCATACTCTAATAAAATAATATTAAGAAATGTGTCCATAATGCAAGTTCAAATACTTAAATCAGGAAAAATGTAATTAATTTTACTATAAAATGGAAGACAAATGTATCTAATTTCAAAGTTGTTTTGTTTCTATTACTTTCCTTCAAAGGATCGTTTCAGTATTGTTACATGCTTATACAGAAAATATCATTATTACAACACTATTAAGATTCTAGATTCAGTTCTAATTGAGTTGCGGCTTGGCGTTATGTTGATAGTGGGTCCTGACATGTTCCAGTTAAGATCCACTGTTGTGATGTATACAGGATACAGGTAAAGAAATACAAGTCACAAGTCTTACCATTCTGAATCCCGTACATGTAGAGTCCAGGCTGTTGCGTTTGGTTTGGTTGACTGATGTTGCTGCTGACTGCACTTTGGAACAATGGCCCTGGCTGTTGAACAGGGGAATTTGTGGTGGTCTGAAGGGATGGTACACTATTTTGAGTTGTAAACAGAGACGACTGTGCAAGCTCCTGAGACAGATCCTGCTGCAGAGATGCCAAGTTTGATGAAGGCATGAAAAGACCCACAGACGACTCTCGCTCGGAGGCTGTGGCGTTGCCCAGCTGCATCGGCTGCTGCTCCTGATACACAATCTGCTGCTGTGGGACAGAAACATTCCCTAAAGTCATGGGCTCCGACCGGTCTGACCGAGTCACATTCATCGGAGTCTGAGCACTAAACAACAGACTGGACGCTTGGTCGGACATAGGGTTGCTGCAAAACAAAATCCCGGGCGGCTGTGGCTGTTGTTGCTGGTTGGCTGACAGTGGATTTGCAGAGGGATGCGCTGGGATGTTCTGAAACAGAGTGGCCTGCTGTGGCGACTGTGTGGTCGGCTGCTGCTCCATGGGACTTCTCTGTTGAATGGGCGAGAGCTGCGTCTGAGCCTGATAAACCAGGGGATCAGGGTTTGGGGTTTGAAGAGTATTGAGGAACGCCATCTGCTGCTGCTGTTGAGGGCTGTTACTTGTAAGCTGAGAGGAAAGGGATGTCTGTGGGAGAAAGAGAGTAGAAGTGGCAGGCTGCTGGTCTGGAGACTGGAGTACTGACATAGAGTTTTGGAAGAGTGTAGCCTGAACCTGCTCCTGAGAAGACTTTTGAAACAGCGTTCCTTGAGGAGAGGAAGTTTCACCCAAAGTGGGCGAATTGTGAAACATGGGCGGTGAAGGATGGGAAGGAGTCTGTTGCAGAAAGTTTGTTTGAATGGTCACCAGCTCGTTGCTTTGGAACATGGGCACCTGCTGCTGTGGCGTCTGTTGGAACAAAGAAGGTTGGTTTGCAGCCACTTGTGGGGAGCTCTGCTGATCACTCTTTCCCTGCCCTGCATCCTGAAACACACAATGCATCTGGATCTGGGACTGGAACAGCTGCTGCTGGAGGTTGTCTAAAACCTGTTGTTGCTGCTGCTGCTGCTGTTGTTGCTCTTGTTGTAGTTGTTGAATCTGTTGATTTTGTATATGTTGCTGTTTCACCAGTGAATTGTCAGATTGTGGTAACCTGCAGTAACCTTTGGCTTGAAGGTGTCGAACAGCCTCCTCTAACTGTGCCACTTCATCTAAAACGAAAACAGACATCTGCCGTGGCTGAGGGGGGGCTTCCCCGCAAAGCCTTCCTACCCCTGTGGGGTCACTGCTGGGTTGGTCTTGCCTTACACTGTCTCTCTGCTTCAGGAGGAACTGCTGAGAGCTTTGTTGGACCAGAGAGTCTCCAGGAGGCACAGGAAATGTGCTGGTAGAGGCATTATCTTGTTTTTGAACTGTGCTTATTTGCTCAGTGTTGGTGAAGGTTCGCTCTTGATCCTGGTCACCTGTTGCCTGCTGAAGACAATTGGAGTAGGATCTGTTCTCATTTAGACCGCCAGAGGTTTGCATGTTTGTATTTGGCTGAGAACACAGACCCTTCTGTTGTCCAAACAAAATGAAAGTAAACAAGAATATTATTATTGTTGTTGTTGCTGTAATGGATATCACACAAAAAACATTTTGCAATCACCTTGAAAATGCCATTATTCTGCAAGTTACTGGTCACCTCCATCGGGGTGACCTCTTCAGTCTTCACCAAAGGTAACAAAGGAGTTCTTAAGGCAGCTTCTGAAAATAAATACATAAATAATAATTAAAAGCACATTTAAAGACCAAATAAAAAACCCCAAACTATAGTCAATATACAAACCATTTGGATTATTGTAAGTGCACTCCTGACTTGGTGAGACCATCTCTGTTTTAACAGAAATGTCTGTTTTTGCTGTAACAAAAAACAAAAGCTGTATTTTCCTATGGATTAAGTGAGAGGTGGCAAAACTGATCTGCAGATGGAGCCATTGAGCCGTTGTGTACAACAAACCTGCATCAGGCGTGTAAGTGAATGGTTGCATATCATTGGATTTCCCAGCATTTGTCATCACGTAAATACCCACACAAACTGCAGAGGTGATTGACTGGGTCTGGTACGGAGGGACCTTCACAACCAGGTGATTCTATACAGGTATAGAACAAGCAAAGACATAACATGTACAGATTCAGATAAATAAATAATACAATGCTCTTTGTTACCAGAGTTTGAAGTACTGCATTTTGTGTGTACAGTGCCAAAGGTTTTAATAGGCTTGTCAAGACATGGTTAGCATTGAACATGTTTAGTAATTTGGCCATCGTTGAAATATTCAAATAAGATACAGAGACAATTTAGGACAAGTATGTTTTCATTATAAAATAATAATGTGTTGTGGTTAGAAGGCTATTACCTGATGAAACAGCTCCATGTCAATTTCAGCCTCAACTTTCCACGAAGTGTCATCTAAATGGTATTATACACATAATTATAACACTAAATTAAGACCATGTAATTCAATAATCTGCATGTCTTACCAGAAACATTCTCATGAAATATAACTTTTGTGTCTTTCAGAAAGTTTTTTCCAATGATAAAGACCTCTTCTCCACCTCTAACAGAGCAACTGTGCAGAGACTTCTTAAGGATTTCAGGAAGACCTGCAGGTTGAGCTGCAAAAAACAAAACCAGGAAATACAGAGAAATACCAGAAAAAAATCATTGTCGAGGTTTAGGTCATTTATTGTTAGTGTGAGGCTTGAATGAAAAAGTCTATTTGGAGGTATTAGTGCAGCATGTGTACCTAAATAATTCACTTACTACATAATATGGGCGATGAGGGGGTCTGAAGCGTGAGTACTGATCCATCAGGACGAGGAATGTTTACCCGAAACACCAAGCGAGCGCGAGTGCTCTTTTTTTTGGACCCCGCCACACCAATACGAGCCTCCACATCAGCATTACGGAGCTTAAGAATCCCAACACAGTCAACTCTACAAAAGAAACATGATGTCTACGTTTTATCTTATATGAAAAAGTGAAAGAAGTGGTTTGCTAGACTTACGCCAATGTCATGTTGGTACTCGGGTCTAGAGGTACTTCAATGACAGTTGTGCCCCCGATGTCTACTTCAATGCAAACTGTGGTATTGCGTCCGGTTACTCGACACGCCTGATAAAATCCATGTGGCTTCACTCGTCCGGAATCATTAGCCACAAATACTTGAAGAACTACCGGTTCATTTACTCCTTCCAACTGTTTTTAGGCGCACAGAACACACAATAAGAAGTAATTCATAAAAAGGGCCAAAAGCATGAACAGAACGCACAATAAAAATATGCCTGATGTAATGATGATGATAATAATAATAATAATGCTAGGTTTTTATAAGCATTAGCAAAGTTCTATGGTTGAGACGATTCATGGAACTGTCATTGTCAGAGTTTGTGACGAGCTGAGCTTTCGAGAAGAGTTTTTTTCTATGTGTACAGTAGAAAAATGATAGAATGATGAAATGTATTCTTTTGAAGCACCTTTACAGTTGGGAAGCCCTGTTGAGTGCGGTCCTTCACTGAGCCCCTGCTGCCTTCAGTCAGGTAACGGGCTCGATGCTGGGTTTCCGGCTGTACCAAGATCTTCAGCTCCTTCCCTTCATTCTTAGCTGGATACTGCGCTGATAGAGTTCCTCCTTTTGGAACAGATGTTTGAGTTCCATCTTCAGAACTATAACAAACAGCATTTAGAAAATGTGGCACAGTAATTCCTGCAACAATTATGGTGGAGCGTGGTAAGGATAAGTGAGAGGCTGAGAAAGATTTACGGTGCGTCCGCACGTATTTGTCTGATTCACTGTAACTGAACATATTCTGGTTCACTGAACATGTGTCCACTCATCACTTAAGTTAGTTTAAGTCTTTTGGATTGAACCAGATCAAAAGAGTGAATGCATCCTTCGTGTGGCTGTTTTAAAATTGTATACTTGGAGTTTGTTTTGCTGAATAAACTTTCAATATAACAAAAGCAGGACAAAACCAACCTTCCTTTTGGTCGAGATTTGTCAGAGCCAAGTTGAGAAAGGACAAAGTGTGGACCTTTGGCACCGTCTGCATCAAACATGTCCTGATTAGATGCCTGTTTAGATTTAGAACCAGGCCTTTGACGGGGGGTGCGTTTGCGGGACTTTCGAGGCACTTCTGTATTATCGTTGTAGGAGACAGTACTCATGATGCTAAAGTTTGACAGAGAGTCCTCCATCCAGATGCTGTTGCTCTGCTCTGACTCTCCAAATGTTTCATCTTGACATGACATTTGACTGTTATCCAACAAATCTTGAGGAGGTGGAGAGATGTTGAGTACCGTTCTGCGTTTGGTTGGAGTGATCTGATGCGTATCTGGGGTTGAAACTCCTATGTCACTGCCTGCCCTGCAGTTAGCACCACTGCTGAGGTCGACATTGAGACCCTCAATCCCTTCAGTAAGAGGCCTTCCACTCCTGTCTTCTTCTGGCTCAACATTTCTGCTGTAAGCTGCTGTCTGGTCATTATCTGGATGCATAGACGAGCTGTTTGTTGTGGAAAGCGTACTGCAGTTGCCTTTGATGGAGGACATAATATCTACAGGTCAAAACAATATCACATCATTAATAAAGGATTCTCAAAGATGAATGGCTAGCAGTCCCATTTAATTGGTATAAATAAAGATAGGTCAATTCCAATACATATTTGAATGTGATATGTGAATTGGCTTAAAAAAATTATGAATCATAATTCTCAATCATTCTTCATCAGACACTAATAATTTATGTCTTTATGATCCTATGTGTTGTCAAATTTTGACATTATGTTTGTGATGTAAAACCAATATTCCTAATACATTGCATGCCAAATTAGTTTGTCTGATTTTGTTTGTAGACAAAGTTCGGGTGCTGGGACTGAACGTAGCCACAGAGACAAGATAAACAAGCTTCTGACCTATGAAGCAGAGAACTGCAGACCATTTTAAATGCAGACACTCCCTGCTTCAGAGGGAACTTCCTGGAATAAAAATGAGACAGCGAATGAGCAATAAGAGCTGAACAGTATGAAATAGACTCAAAAAGGGAATGTTTGTGGGGAACAATGCTCCAGTCCAGCATCACCACATTAAGGACAAACAATTTTAACCATTGCTTTGCGCCATGACTTGTTGGCTGAAGATTTAAAAGCAAACTGGACTCATGACTCAATATACATTTTGTGTGGATTAGTTACAGATAAAAATGTCCACACTTGGAAACACATGTTATATGAGTTATATAGCTGTGACTGTCCAACTTAGTGGAAGATGTGAGCCAGGTACATAAGCTCCTTGTGCTGTCGGTTGGATATTTCTTACTCTGATGCACTGAAGAAAGAGAATGTACCTGTAGACGGAGGTGAACCTGCCACTCCACCGCTCTTTTGACTCATAACTCTGGGCTTCTGTTGACTGGGTCTCTCCAACTGCCACTGCCCAGGAGGAGAATCATACAACACCTCTGTAAAAGAAAACATAATGTCAACAATACTGTAACACATATCAAGTTAAAAAGTTATAGCTTGCAATAGAACTGCTGTTTCAGCCCATCTTGTGACAGAGTGGGAATTGGCCCAATATCAAAAGCATGACAAGTCTTTTACTAGAAGGCCGATTAAGCGTCCAAATATTATGGTATGAACTTCAAGTGGACATTACAGTCGCATGACTCTCCTCTGCCAACTGCCAGGTTTAATTACTTGCAGCTGAGTCCCAGGGTCTAGTGTGTATCAGATACTTAACCCTCCTATTGTCACCAGTCATTGTGTACATTGGACAAACCTGGGCTGTACCAACTCCAGTCATGCCCTTTCATTCCTAAAGTCCTCCTGTCTATTGCAGTGTGATGTTAAAGAGGGGAATGTAGGTTCCAAAAACAGCAGCTTAAGTCCAACTCCATTAAAACTCCAAAACAAGACTCCAGTGTTGTTGGTCATTTACTGGATTCCCCAAACAAAATCAGTTACACAAGCACACACACTCTGCTTCTAAGCAAAAACACACTCTGCCTGTGCGACCATACGTGAAGCATCCATACTCTCACAGCTAACAGAGGGACAGCACATGCAGCAACATGTGCTAAGAGGGCGAGAGCCGCCTTTCCAATAAACAGATGCCAACCACACAGGAAATATAGACTTAGTGGCCCCACTGTGGTCTGGGTGAATGGTCAGTTCGCACACAGGACAGTATAAATACATAAAAATATGACTCTTCATTTGCTTGAAGGAACACTTGCTCACACTCACTGAAGAAAAGGATAAAGAGCTGTGTTTGTAGAGAGGTGAACCAGTGCCATGTGATGTTTTCATTTCACTTTTAGGAGTGCAGGTTAATGACATATCTGCCTCCTATAGTTATTTAGCTCATAATTTAATTACTAACTTTTATAATTGGTTTGCATGTGACACGTTACTTATACAAATGCAACCTCGAAACTTTTTCAGAATGTATTTCTTTACTTCTGGGTTTACTAAACCAAAAACATGGAAGCTATACAAGTCTAAAGATGAGAAAGGAGCACTCACCATGTGAATGGCAGGACTTTCACTTCCATTCATTTGCCTCGCATTCCGGATGCCTGCTCTTACTAGCCTTGGCACCTGGGGCGTGGCACTGCTTTGGCTGGGTGACTGATTTAACTCCCCTCTATTCCACTCCACTGCTTTTCACTGCTTTGTTTACTATGTCCGCAGACCCTTCTCAAAACGTCAACCTGCTCGACAGGTTACTGCAGTTTGGAATCTTCAATAAAAACAATCTAAAACAAATCCAAAAAAATATTTTCAAAAAGGGAAAGTGTTGCATATAATGTGTGTACCATGAGGGCACAGTGTTTTAAAAGAAGCTAAATAAAAAAGAGAAATCAGTGAAAGGGTTGATGTACAACAACCCTGTAATGTTTATAGCCAAGCGTACATTAGGGCTGCCTGGGCATCCATAGTAACAGTACCTGCGATCGGTGGACCAGTCCTCAGAGAACTGAGACCTGTACAAGATCATCTTTATTTAGACATTTCATTTTGCGGAAAATTATGCAATCTAATAAAATAAATGTGAGCCAGTTGTCAGAGGCTGGTCTTAATCATTATGTTGTGTATGTCTGTTCTTTGAAAAACAAAATCATGACACTCCACAAATGTCACAATAAATGCCCACATATTTGCAATCCATGCACATTTAAGTTTATAAAAAAGACCAAAGCTTTAAGTTTATAAGATTGTTGTACATTTTTGAGGCTCTTTGAGGTTTTCAATAAATTAGGACCAAATGATGACGCAAGTTTGTGATTTTGATGACTCCTGTGCATACGTCACTCCCTGAGCTTTACTTGACTGAGAAAACATACTGTCATTAAACACCACATATCAATTCCGCTCATGGATAGGCCTCTAAAGCCTTGTAAAGCATGCTCAGAGAGTGGAGTTAAACCTGAAGTGACCAGGCGCAAACTCTGGGCATCAGTTTACACGACTCACTTTCAGCAAACACTCACCGCAAACTCAACAGAGACCACTGCCAACACAGACAGCTGCTGGATCAAGCTGTACTGTATATACGGCCCTTTATAAATCAAAGCTTTGGAAGACAACATGTTAACAGTGCTTGACAATGATGCAAACACTCTCCTGGGAAAATCAAGAAAGTACTGTGTTATTTATGTATTTTAGAGTAGATCTGACGAAACATGCAAGATAAACTAAATGAGAAAGAAAAAGTATGCACCAACAAGTATTACCACAGAGGGAAATGAGGTCAGAGGAACAAATGAAAACATTATGAAAGAAAGTGACAAGATAAACATGGTGGAATTCAAGCTATTTACAAAAGCCAAATTGAGACTTCAGCGCTATACTCAGCAGAAAGAAATCCTAATTCAAATATGGAATTGGAATGTGACGCTCATCTATGATGAAATGTGTAATTGTGAGATTTCATAACCCTTTGAAGCAACTATTGTTAAAGTTCAAACTCATCCTTATTACATTTGCACGTGCCAGTACTTTTCCCTTGTTTTGACTTCTGAAGGCCAAGCTACATGGCACCGTGGGAGCTGCTGATTGGAGGACTGCATTCCTCCATGCTGTATAATACACTTGCATTCTGTCGTTCGTGTTGTTCGTGCTGTCTCTACCATTGACAATAAAACATGTCTTCTGTCTGAATGAAAGACACGATCCCAGACATTGGCTGATTCTCTTCAGGTGGTGGAGGATGCGGGCATTGTCTGTAACATCTAGAGAACAGAAGACTTTTTTTTTTCTTTTTTTTTACACAAAAATTAGTTTTTTTAAGACAAAACTGAAAAACCTCAAGAGAATGCATCTGGACCAGCACACTTGGACAATCTGCACAGCCCCTGATTCCAGTCAGGCTGTGAGCTGCTGAGACATGGACAATACCATCGTCCTCTTTTGCATGGACATGATTTGGAACAATTGGATTGCTGAATCTGGACAATAAAGCTGAAACGTGTGATTGAAAGACACGTCACAGAAGAATTCACGGCTCGACACAACAGATGCAGCCTGAAGAAATCAACACGGAGAAGTGGGAGAGACTGTTTTCAAAGCAATATCTGGAACCATCGACTGATGAAGTTTGGTATTTTACTGAAGATTGTTGACGAGTTTTATGAAAGATCTGAACATGTTTTCTGAGTTTTTGAAGTATTCCGAGTTCTGAGTTTTTTGAAGTACCGAGTGAAGTACCGAGTTTAAGTATTGAGATATGATGTTATGTTGCTGTTTATCGATCCTGATGGTCACATGTGAATGTATGACCAGAGGGGGGAATGTGAGATTTCATAACCCTTTGAAGCAACTTTTGTTAAAGTTCAAACTCATCCTTATTACATTTGCACGAGCCAGTACTTTTCCCTTGTTTTGACTTCTGAAGGCCAAGCTACTTTACATGGCACCGTGGGAGCTGCTGATTGGAGGACTGCATTCCTCCATGCTGTATAATACACTTGCATTCTGCCGTGTTTGTGTTCGTGCTGTCTCTACCAAGGACAATAAAACATGTCTTCTGTCTGAATGAAAGACACGATCCCAGACATTGGCTGATTCTCTTCAAAATGTCAGTAAAAAATAATAAATGTCCTCATGCAAATAAAGCAGCTTGTCTGAACATGCCTGTACATGTCAGGTCCAGCACGCCCTAGGGGCTGGAGAATACATCACCTCTGACCTGAAAGACCACCAGAATACTCAGTAAAACATTTTTTTTTATATATATACATATATACATATACACACACACACACTATAAAAAAATGTATATATATATATATAAAATTGTCCACTCACCTTTGGCCCTCCGCGGGCGGTTATCCCTCTCTAAGCTCGGGTCCTCTACCAGAGGCCTGGGAGCTTGAGGGTTCTGCGCAGTATCTTTGCTGTTCCTAGCACTGCACATTTCTGGACCGAGATGTCCGAGGTTGTTCCGGGGATCCGCTGTAACCATTCATCTAGCTTTGGGGTCACTGCCCTGAGTGCACCGATCACCACGGGCACTACTGTCACCTTTACCCTCCAGGCCCTCTCCAGCTCCTCTCTGAGACCTTGGTATTTCTCAAGCTTTTCATGTTCTTTTTTTCCGGATGTTACCATCGCTTGGAATTGCCACGTCCACCACCACGGCTGTCCTCTGCCCTTTGTCTACCACCACGATGTCAGGTTGGTTTGCCATTACCATTCGGTCAGTCTGTATCTGGAAGTCCCACAGGATCTTCGCACGCTCATTCTCCACCACCTTTGGAGGAGTTTCCCACTTAGACCTTGGGGTTTCCAGCCCATACTCTCCACAGATGTTTCTGTACACTATGCCAGCCACTTGGTTATGGCGTTCCATGTAGGCCTTCCCTGCAGCATCTTGCACCCTGCAGTTATGTGTTGGATCGTCTCAGGTGCCTCTTTGCACAACCGACACCTTGGGTCTTGTCTGGTGTGGTATATCTGGGCCTCTATCGCTCTGGTGCTCAGGGCCTGCTCCTGTGCAGCCATGATGAGTGCCTCTGTGCTGTCCTGTAGGCCAGCCCTTTCTAGCCATTGGTAGGACTTCTTGAGATCAGCCACTTCTCTTATGCTCCGGTGGTACATGCCGTGTAGGGGCTTGTTCTCCCATTATGGGCTCTCCTCCAGCACCTCCTCATCTCGCCACTGCCTGAGACATTCACTGAGTACGTCATCCGTTTTGGCCTTCTCCATGATGTAGTTATGGAGTTTGGATGTTTCGTCCTGGACAGTGGCTCTCACACTCACTAGTCCTCGGCCTCCTTCTTTACGGCTTACGTACAGTCTCAGGGTGCTGGATTTGGGATGGAACCCGCCATGCATGGTATGGAGTTTTTGAGTTTTAACATCCGTGGTCTGAATCTCTTCCTTTGGCCACCTGATTATTCCTGCAGGGTATCTGATCACTGGCAGGGCGTAGCTGTTAATTGCCCGGGCCTTGTTC